AGATGAGGGGCATGAAACGTGCACGCCACGAATATTTCACTAATCTCAAGCGTAAGCTTGTGGGTCGAACGTGACACGTGTACGAAACGTGTGTGAAAACACGAACGGGAGTCCCATGCAGCGCAATCGCAGACGCAACGCGTATGAGGCGCTATGAGGCGCATAGGATACGCCCATGCAGCGTGTACACAACGTACATCAAACACGTTTGGAACGTATAGGCAAGTGGGCACAGCACATGTGTGGGACGCATGCGCAACGTACAATACACGTATACGAAATGTATACGCAACATAAATTCGGCCATACGATCGTATACACCACGCCTACGAACACCATGCGTAACGTGTGCGACGCATGGACGACACGTAAGCAATACGTTTGCGGAGTGTATACGAAACGTGTATATTGAACACGGGTACGCATCGTAGAGGGAACGCATACGCAACCTTACGAAACGCATGCGAAGCGTATCAAACACGCAAAAGTTGATAAGGAGCGCCGTAAAAGTTGCTAAGGAGCGCCTTACAGGCTGCCAACGAGCGCCCCAAAGGCTGGCAACGAGCGCCGCAAAAGCTGCTAGCACCGCCGTAGAATCTGCTAAGGGGCGCTTGGGAAAAATGTTATGAAGTTTCGCAAGTTTCACTATCTTCAGAGCCTACAGTTGGGGAGTGAACCAGTTCACCAGGGAATGGACCTGCTTTCCAGGGGAAGGATTTTGTTTCCCCTTTTGGGGCCCTCTATGAGGTCATCGATCAAAGGAGGGGTGGTCCCAGGTGTCCGTCCCCTCTTGGAGGGCATTTGGGTTCCTCTTAGAGGCTCGCTTGAGCCATGCTGGCGTCATCGTGGGTTCCAAAAGCATATCGGAAGCGAGAAGGCGGGACGGCAGCAGCCATTGATTCTCTTGAGGTTCTTGAAAGATGTTGGCCGCTTGCCGGGCCCTGGGGGAGCTCTGAGAGCATATGGGGCCGTTTTGCAGTCCTCTGAGGATCTCTTGCAGGCCGTTCGGAAGCTATCTTGGACCATCTTCGATTTTCCTGAGCCATCTTGGAGGCCATCTTGTAGCATCGGCCGCTGACTTGGAACCATACCAGACAATCTCGGAAGCTTTAACCCATCGTGACCTCCCTCAACAAAATTACTCAAGCAGAAAATAGTGAAGGTACCCCCCCCCCTGAAGGCAAAGTAGGCTTCGGCAGAAGATAGAGAGAACTCATCAGACTATCTACGCCCACAGAGCGGGCTGGACCCACAAGTACGGAGAATTTCGATCGCGTCGTATCAGACGCAACACTTATGTGTGTTTGCCTTGTGCGAGCTTAGCCGATAAAGACGGCATCATACATACATGTACATATACACGCGCCCAATGCGTATATACATATAAAGATACGCATGCAGACATACACTCATACAAACATACATGTTTACACACATACATATACATACATGTACATACATATACATACATAAACAAACATATACATACATTTGCGTACACATACATACATAAACCTACAAATACATGCATTTAGATATATTTACATACTTACCCATACATAGACATACATACATACGTACCTACGTGTGTACGTACGTACATGCATACAGACATACATACATGCATGCATACATACATGCATGCATGCATGCATACACAGTGGTACATGTTGCGCGCGAAATTGCAGCCAGCTTTCTCTCCCGAGCTTTGCTTGGTCGCGTCAGCCCAGCCGGGCGCGTGGGATTGGCGAGGTGGCGCGCTTCCTCTGCGCAGTTTTGCGACTTGTTCGGTGCGTTCCACAGCAGCTCTCAGCAGTCGACCGCCCGTCGGCCACTCGTCGGCCACTCGTCGGCCACGCGTCGGCCCCGCGTCGGCCGCGCACGGGCGGTTCACAGCGGCTCGGGGCGGTGAAGGGCGGGCCGTCTGCCACTCGTCGGCCACCCGTCGGACACTCGGCGGCTTCTCATCGGCCGCTCGTCGGCCACTCGTCATATGCTCGTCGTCCGCCCGTCGGTCGGTCGCGCGGCGCGCGCGTTGGGCAGAACTTGGTGGGATCCGTCGCGCACCGATGCGTTCCGCTCGGGATGTTCGCGTTGTCGCGAGATTCGCAGGCCTCGCCGAACGCGCCCCAGAAAATGCACGCTGGGGTCAAAGAACCTCCGACAGCACCCCGTGGGTTTTTGCGCCGGGGTTCGACGCGAAGACGCCGCTTGAAGCGAGCATCCCTTATGCCGCAGCACGTTCGACGCCAGCGCCGACAAGCACCGACAACAACCGACCACTTGCGCGCGTGATTACCACGCGCTCAATGACTGTAGCAGGTGCGCACGCAGCCGCTCCTGCAACTAGGTCGAGCGCATCTTGCCTTTCGCAACGAACTTCGCGAGATTTCGGCCCGCGTCTTCGCGCGATGGCTTCTTTTTCAAATGCTGGACGCCTCCCAGCGCATTCCTATTAGGGCCTGGGTCTATTTCCCGAGGGCGCCCTCGAGGGCGCGAAGTGGTTCGGGCCTCGCGGTTCGGCTCCGATCCCTCCTCCTCCTCCTTCTCCTCCTCCTCTCCCCTGGGAGGCGGCGCGAGGGCGCGAAGCTGTTCGCGCCTCGCGCAGCGCGGAGCGCGACATCGGGAGCCCCGGATCGCCTGGGCAGTCCCCGGTGCAGGGCCGGTGGGCCGAGGGTGGGGCGACCGCGAGTGCTCGGCGCGGCGCGCGAAGCGGCGCCCTTTTGCACGGGCATGCCGTGGGCACGCCGGAAGGCGCCATTCTAGCATGCAGTCTCGGGCCGGACGAAAGGGGTGATTGTGAGAGGGGGCGTTACGAAATTTGCGGCATGCAGCTGGTTTCGGCCTCACCGAGGGGCCCATGCCTCGATACATAGCCGCCTCCGGCGCTGGGAGGCGCCAGGAAAGTCAGCGCTGATTCTCACCCCCCCCCTTTGCTATCCCCCCATTCCGCCCGACCCGACAGTCGGGCGTGCCCCTCTACAGGAGGAATACAAGAAATTACCCCAGTGCGACCTTACCTAGAAGTTGGAGCCCCTAGGAAAGCAGCATTCGTTGCTATGCTATTCCATGCTATGCTGTGCTATGCTATGCTATCATATGATATGCTATGCTATGATATGCTATGCTATGCTATGCTAAGCTATGCTATGTAATGCTGTGTTATGCTAAGCTATGCTATGATTTGCTATGCTATGTTAAACTGCGCTATGCTATGGTATGGTAAGTTCTGCTCTGCTATGCTAAAGCTCAGTGAAACTACGATGAAGGTAAGCTAAGCTAAGACTATGCTACGCTATACTGTGCTATGTTATGCTGTGCTATGCCATGCTATGCTACGCTACGCTAAGCTAAGCTACATTAGGCTAAGCTCAGCTAAGCTAAGCTAAGGTAAGCCAAGCTAAGCTAAGCTAAGCTAAGCCGAGCTAAGCTAAGCCAAGCTAAGCTAAGACGAGATAAGCTACGCCAAGTTAAGGGGGCGCTATGCTAAGCTATGCTAAGCTATGCTATGCCATTATGTGCTATGTTATGCTATGCTGTGCCATGCTATGCCATGCTATGCTATGTTACGCTAAGCTAAGCTACATTCGGCTAAGCTAAGCTAGGCTAAGCTAATCTTAAGCTAAGGTAAGCCAAGCTAAGCTAAGCTAAGCCAAGCTAAGCTAAGCCAACCTAAGCTAAGACGAGATAAGCTAAGCCAAGCTAAGGGGGCGCGACTTGGGGAACCGCGGGGCGGGGACTGGGGGAACCGCCCGGGGCGCGTTCCACTGCCCGGCCCCTTTAAGCTAAGAGAGTAAGAACCCTTTAGGCAGAGCCTAGGTAGGGAATAGTCAAAAAATAGTATGGGGACTATTTGGGAGTATTTTTTGACGATGTTGGTGCAGGTTTTTTGCCCAGGATCCACCTGTAGGGGGACAGGCCCGAGCTAACTCTAGCAGACCTTTGCCTCCCCGACATTTCACCACGGCTGGACGCAGCTCGGGAAATTGGTGCGTTTGGATTCTGGGTGGGATCGGGAAGTCGATTTTGAGGTGCCATCGTCTCCACCCGCCCCGCTCCGACGAACGGTGTGGTGAGTCGGTGAGGATATCGGGGTGGCCGCACGGTTTTCGGATTCGGATCCTGCTCCGAGGATGTCTATGGCGATCGGAGCCCCCAGGGTCACACAACCGTGCGGCGACGGACCGTGCGATGAGGCATCTTGGGGTTTTGAGTTCACCGCGCGGTCCGTCGCCGAACCGTTTTGGGATGCCCTGGAAGTGCACCCCCTACTCACGTTTTCCTCCACCGGCGATGTGAAACCTCAGTCGGGGTACAAAACGCACTTGCAGTGAACACACTGATTGCTGCCAACACAAATGAAAGCCGGAACGTGTTGAAAGCGGCCGCGGGAGAGGGGGGGACCCCGACCGACCAGTGTGTAAGCAAGAGGAGGCGACGCGTGAAGCAGTGAAGGAGACGGAGCGTGTGCGGCCCAACGCGCCCGTCAGAAGCTCCCGTTTGCCTCTCCGCGATCGCGCCGTTTTCGGCCGTTTCCGGAGTCGGGGGGACCTCGCTGGGCTCCAGGGCCGTCGAAGCATTGCTCGGGGTGGCAAGGCAGTCCGGGGGGAATGGTCCAGATCTCACGGGGATCCCCGGCGTGGGTCGGGGGCGGCCAAGAGGGGGGTGATGTCTAGGGGGGGGGAGATCATGACGGGGGCCATGGTATCTCCCCAGATTTCATGGCGTTCCATCTCATTTCATTACATTGTTTGTATTAATCCGCGTCGCTGCGCCTTCTCTAATTTTATTCCTAGTTTTGTTTCCTGCCACGCCTCGGAGCTGGGACATCTACGCGACAACCTAGGATTTGCAATTCCTTGTTGTTTGAAAATCCTTGCTATTTGGAGCTCCCTGTCCGTCTCCAGCCCCCCATGGTAAGCCCAGCTGAAAAAAAAACGCCCGACACCGAGCAGTGCACAGAGCATGGACGCCCGAGCGATGGCGAGCCCCCTTCCGAGGCTCGCTGGCGGCGTGCACCGGAGCCGGAGCCCTGGCCGTGGCGGGCTGGCACGCGGGCGCGCGGCTGCCCGCAGCCCCAGAGGTCCTTGGCCGCGTCCTCACAGTGGGGGCGCGCCTCAAGAAACCGTACAGTCGGGGCCCTGAAGAAACCCTTTTCGTTGGGGAGGGGCTCCGTGTTCCTTGATTGCTTCTCAGTTTGCCTTGGGTTTTCCTTTGGTTTCCGCAGGGAAATCGAAGTTCAACTTCTGGAGAAAAGGGGCCTCGTTCCTTATTCAGGGTTCCTTAGGTCAGCGCCCCGACTGCATGCTTTTCGTCAGTGCACCCTGGGTTTCCTTTGCCCCTCGCGCTGCGCGGCGACTTCTCGCGGCCGTTGGAGGGGCTGCTGCGTTCAGGGCGCTCCGAGTTTTCCCTCTCCGGTGCACCTCGCGCGCTGGTTCTCAGGGTCGGGTTTCTTGCGAGGGTTTCTTGCGGCCGCGCCCGCACTGTGCAGTCAAGACGCTGAGCGTTGGGCTCAGGAGGGGCTTGGGTTCTCGGGCCGTTCCTTAGATCTACGATTAAGTCGGGCCTGTCCCCCTACAGGGGGATTTTCTACGAAAAGTATAAAAGAACCCAGAAATAATCCAAAAATATTTCAAAAATGGTATGGTGACTATTTTTGGAGTATGTTTCTTCCTTTTTGAAGCATTTTTGGAGTCTTTTTTATTTTTCGTCGAAAATCCCCCTGTAGGGGGACACGCCCGACATAATTCTACGTCGTGGAGCCCGGATTCTGGGTCACCGCACCGTTTTGGGTTTCAGGTCGTTCTTCGAGGATGTCTCGGGCGATTGGGGCCTCTGCAGTTTTGATGCCGTGCGGTGGCGGCCATCGCGGAGAGATCGTTAGGGATTCCGAGTCCACGACGCGGTCGGTCACCTCACGGTTTGGTGGAGTCGAAGAGCGGCTTACCACCACCAGAGAGCTAGGCATCCAGAGAGACGCATGGGCAGAAGAGTGCGCGATTGGCAAGTCTTCGGGGATTGCGAGAAGAAAGACGGAAGCCGGAGCGCCTCACGACCGTGAAGCAGAAATTGAGGCGCTCGATTGTAAAGCAGTAGACGGGCTGCGAGACAGGAGGAGGACGAGCAGGAGGAGGGATGCAAGGAGGAGGAAGAGGAGGAAGAGGAGAGGTTGAGTAGATGTACGGGAGAAGCTCATGCACCGAAGTATCACATCGCTGTCGCGGCCGCCCCCGCTTCCTGCGAAAGATCTGGCCGACTAGATCCCCCCAGCAGCGCGAAGATAGTTACGCGTCGCACGTCGCGGCCTGGACAGGATGCCTGCCCTTCTCCAGGGGGGGGGGCCGGAGGGCGCAAGGGCGCGAAGATAAGTTTGCGTCGCGAAATGCGGGGCGTGATGCGTGAAGACAGGTAATCTGACTATGTGTGTTGGGTTGGAGACATTGGGTTTACAGCCGCCGACGCCATCAAGCCGCCAACGATTGTTTTCAACCAACGTGGGGACCATGACCCAGGCAAGATAGACACGACCATGAAACCACATTTTGTTGCAGCCCAGTTCACCCGAGACTGTATCCGTTTCGCATTCGCCCCAATGGATTGCAGCAGCCATGTTAGACCAGCCGGACTTCAGTCCTTCATTCCCCTCCGTCTTTTTGGATGAATATTCAGATGATGTGCTACTAAACGACGAGGACGGCGAGGAGGGGGCAGGATAGGAGGATAAGCAGTTGGATTCTTGGATTCTCCTGACGATGGACACGAGAGTGGCAAACCAGCGCCTCCGCGAGATGCTGCAAACACAGTGCGTAGACCTTTCCGGCATCGCCGCTGGAAGGCACCGTGGATCGGAGCCTGCCTGCGACCCGACTCCAGCAGCGAGGACCCCATCGTCGATACCGGGCAGCACCTCGTCGTCCGCTCCGGCATTCGCGCGGTCACGGACACAAGCGAGGAGGACAAATACCCTGGCTATCACAACGAGCTTGATTTCTTCGTCGAAGTACAAACACAAACGTATAACGTTCGTAGATCTACGAGCCGTATGCGCATGGGTTTGTGGATTCGACGAGGCAACCAATCTTGGGGGTAAATCCATCCTGTAGACGATTCCCCGCTCGAGCCACGCATGCCTCCTGGAAGGTCGCGCGCCGTCGGGCAGGCGGGCGGACAGCGCAAGGCGAGGCAGCAGACCCAACCCTACAGCAAGGAGGGATCGGCAGGCAAGGCAGCAGGCCTAGCAGCAGCCACGCAGCCAGCGCGACCGCGAGCTCACCCTGCCCTGCCCACCGGCCCACACCTCTCTGAGAGGACAGGCCGCCCCCCCAGATCTCCCACAGCTACGGCAAACAGGGCGTCCTCATACCAAGGCGGGACTTGCCGACGGGAGGCCCACCAGCGCGTCATCTTCACTCTTCCAAGTCTTATCGGTTCTGCTCTCACCGACTATGCCCAGCCTCGGCCCTCTTCTTGGGCCAGGCCGCCGCACTCGCTGTATCGGGAGCAGCAGCAACAGCCGAACCTCGATTTCCTCACGCTCCACCTACCCAGACTTGCCCACCCTCAGTGCGATAGCACGACTTCCGTCTCCTTTACAGCACGTGCGACGGCGCTCAGACCAAGCTCAGCACTACGGCGGCTACAACTATGACAGGCTATGCTACGCGGTGGGTCAACAATCGTGGCTGTATCTCCCCACGCATGCCACGCAACGAACAGACCAGCGAGATGAATCTCTACCAACCTTCGCTCCCTCCTGGCTCCGCCTTCTTAGTGTCATGCCCCCCCGCTATTCGCCCACTCAAACCGGTGGTGGGGGGGGGGATGGGCGGACAACAACTGTGGCAGGGGAGCGGGGGGCAACAGCTGCCGCTGACTGATCTGGCGAAGGCTGGGGCAGCCACGGCAACGAGCAGCGCTTCAGCATTTCGCTGCTCTCACCAGTACACGTCGGTCGTTGGAAGTAGGTACGTGTGGATTTTCGAATCACAATCTATTTAAGGCGCCTTCCTACTTCAATGATCGAATGGTGTTTCATCTTCCTTCCTGTTCAGGGTGCGAGCGGAAGCCCAATCTATTTGATCCGCCTTCCTAATCCATGTTTCTACCTGACTCTTGCGAGTGGCGTATACCACCGCTCGTACACGTACCGCCGGTTCCATCCATCTCAGCGCTTTGTCTTACCTCGCCGTACCTCGCCTCTCGCACGCGTCAGTGCAGAGCCGACCTATTTGCCACAGCATTGTTGCCTTACTATTTCACCATCTGTGGGCTTGTATTTGTAATTCACCTACGCTCGTGGGCGGGGAGTGGGGTGGGACCTGCGCTTGTTTAGGGGGCGAGGGATGCCACAATTGATGCTAGCTGACCTGGCGAATGCCGAATAGCAGCAGCAACCAGCCGAGGCACCTCGCATTCGCGTTAGTACTCTGCAGTTTTTTCATCGTAACCTTTTTGGCCAAACCCGCTGTATCGCCCCACCTCTCACTTCGCTTTGCGGTTCCAACACTTAGTTGTCGTTTGCTTGCAGCCCATTAGCCCGCTCAAGATCGTTAAGCTCGGGAGGTACGGTTTCATGGGTGGGGGGATGGACTACACATCGAACGCTCTGACGCCTCCCTCTAGCAGGGCCAATGCGGCCGCGGCGCGCAGTTTCTGATTGCCGACCGAAGCGAACAAAGACCTCAACGCAATCGGCGGACGATGCGCTCCGGGTACCACGCCAGGGCCCCGACCGTCTGAGGAGGGCTATGACCTGTGTATGTGACATCGGCCTCCCGCCGCTAGTGCAACCGCGGCGCAGCACCCGTTCGCCGGCTCTACTGACTCCCTCGCTGTATGTTCGCAATGCTTAGCGCGTTTGTCACATGGAGTTCGACAGTCGCCACATTGTTACCATACCAAATCTAGCAGCGTCGTCCGCTCACTCCAGAACCGCAGCTTCTGTCAGCTCGTTGCTCTCGCCAGTCAACCTGGGCTCGCTTTTTTCCTGTCGCGTTCTTCGCCAGGCACACGCGTCAACAAATTCGGGGATGGGCTGGTTATTGTGATCGGACGGGTGGGAGGCACGAGCAATTTTGACAAAGCTACTGGGCCAGCGTGGCCTTAGCCAGACGCCCACGCCACTATCACACCACTGCGTAGCTCCACCCCATACCTCCACCTCTCCTCCTTCGATGTTATACGCTATGCCTCGTCCTCCCCTCTCCATTCAGTATGTTCGTCAGCTACCTGTAAGTCGGGCCTGTCCCTCTGCAGGAGGTATATTCGAAACTGGTCAAACACATAGTCTGGGGACATGTTCTACATTGTTTGAGCATTTGGGATTCTTGTTTTGCATGCTCGATGTTTCGTCCAACATCCCCCTGTAGGGGAACGGGCCCGACCTAACACTGGTTTGATCACCCCCCCAGGGGCGAAACACTCGGAGGCCGACGGCCGCCCGTCACGAGATTGGACTCCTGCTGCCGTTCCTCCTCCGCCCTCCTCCTCGTGACTCCTCCTCGGAGCAGGGGAGAAGGCCTGACTCCTCAAGACTCCTCCTCCTGACTCCTCCGCCTCCTCCTCCTGACTCCTCGTCCTGACTCCTCCTCCTCCTGACTCCTCCTCCTCCTCGGAGGAGGAGGAGGAGTCCTCTCTCCGTTTTACCCTCTTCATAGCCCGCGCTGGGAGCAGGGAGGAAGAGTGAGGAGGAGGAGGAGGAGGAGGAGGAGGAGGAGGAGAAAGAGGGGGAGGAGGCGGAGGAGTCGGAGGAGTTCCCTCCCCCGTCCTCGTCATAACTTCCCCTTGAAGCAGGAACGGGAAGAGGAGGAAGAGGAGGAGGACTCTTCCCCCATCCTGTCCATAACTTTTCCTTTGAGCAGGAGGGAGGACGACGAGGAGGGAGAAATCGCCGCCCCTCGCCGCCGCCGCGGCACGGAGGGAGAGGATATTGAGGAGGAGGAAGAGGAGGAGGGGGAGGGGAGGGGGGTGGGGGGATGTGGATGAGGAAGGAGGAGGAGATGGAGGAGGAGGAGGAGGAGGAGGAGGAGGAGGAGGACGAGGAGGAGGAGGAGGAGGAGGAGGAGGAGGAGGGGAGGGGAGGGAGGGAGGAGGCAGGGAGGTAGGGAGGGAGGAGGGGAGGGAGGGGGAGGAGGAGGAGGAGGAGGAGGAGGAGGAGGAGGAGGAGGAGGGGAGGAGGAGGAGGGTGAGGAGGAGGAGGAAGAAGAAGAAACAGAAACGGAAACAGAAGAAGAAGCAGAAGCAGAAGCAGAAGCAGAAACATAACAAGAATACTATATATATAGGATGAATAATACTAAGAAGACGGATAAGAAGAAGAGTAACACGAATAGTAATAATAACAAGATTAAGAAGACGACGATAAATAAGAAGACGAATAATAATATTAATACCAATAAGAAGAATAATAATAACAATAATATTAATAAGAAGAAGAAGACGAATACGAATGATAATACTAATAATAAGAAGAGGAGGAGGAGGAGGAGGAGGAGGAGGGGGATGGGGAGGGGGAGGGGAGGGGGAAAGGAGGAGGAAGGAGGAGGATGAGGAGGGGACGGAGTCTACGTCGGAATCGTCGCAGCTGCAGAAGGCATACTGTCAGAGGCCTTGGGCTTACCAACGCAGGCGCGCGCGCCCAACCCCGGCGGGCCTCCCAGCGGGCAGGGGGCTGGCGGCGGCGAGGAGGCGCTCGTCGAGGGCGCGGGCGCTTGCGGGAGCACGTGCGTGGGCCACCACGAGTTGCGAACATATCATGCTCATCCTTCCGCCTCCTTGCTCCTCCTCTTTCCCCCTCCTCCTCCTCCTCTTCCTCCTCCTCCTCCTGCTTCTCCTCTGCCTCCCCTTCCTCCCCCTCCTCCTCATCCTCCTCTTCCTCCTCCTCCTCCTCCTCTTCCCCCTCCTCCTCTTTGGCCTCTTCCTCTTCCTCCTGCTCTTACTCCTCCCCTTCCTGTTCATTATCCTCCTCCTCCTTTTTCCCGTCCTTTTTCACGAGCGGCGGACGTATCCGTATCCGCGCCCTCGCGGTCCGGGCTCCTTGGCGCTATGCCGCGGGGCAGCCGCGAGCGAAAACGCCCAGCAACCGCGGGGTCGCGGTCCGGGGGCCTGGCCCGCGAGGCCGCGGATGCGGCCCGTGTGGTCTGCCCGCGAGGCCACACGTGCGACTACTGGCTGGAGACCAACCCGTTCGCGTCCTGCGAGGCGCCGAAGGGTTCGGCAGCAGCTCGCGGGAGCCTGGCGTGTCCTCGGGATTTTCCGGTTTCGGGCCGCATTCGAGTGCAGGTCGGTATCGTTTAACCAATCCCCATCCCCATCCCCATCCCCATCCCCACCCCCCTTCGAGACCCCCACCAAATTGCCACCCAAGTTGGGGATACACCCCTCGAAGCCCGAAGGATACGGCCCACATCCCCGTCTAGGGGGATAAATCGGCCAGTGGGGCCCAGGCCACGCCGCTGGGGATGGGGATCGGTTGCACGATGCTCAGAATGTGTGAGGATGAGTGACGATGTTGCCTCGATTAGCGTCGAGCCGCAAGAGCCAGCAAGATGACATTGGAGGGCTCCGCAAGATGCCACAGATCGTCCTGCGTGCTGCCAACAAAGAGGCATCAACAAAATCTCTCGGAGGTCCTCGCGAATTTCTTGGATCGGCGCTGGCCCCACCTGGCGGCGCCTCCGGCGCCGACTTTGGCGCGCTCCGCGAGCAAGGGAGGGGGCCCAGCGCCGACCCGGACAGTCCGAGTGGACCTCTGATAACGTTTGTTTATGCAGTGCAGTGCTTCCCCAGAAAACATCGCCTAAAGGGTTCTGGCAGTGGCGAATCAGGACTACAGAGAGGGCACACAGGGGAGACGGAGAGCCTGGGGACGCCCCGTCCGGCAGCCGTGTCGCACGACATGTCCGCACCATCGATTCGGGAGTCCTGCTCTCCATGCCCGCCACGGCGGCCACGTTCCCTTGCAACAAATACACAATACACATTAAAGTGCACATGAGCGACGGAAGAACACCGGGTCGTTTTCCCCGACACTGGTGCGTGAGTTGCCCGCGAAAGGTCGCGCGTGAGCGCCCTCGTCTTCAGTGTGGCGTGCCGCGCCTTTGGCCCACGCAAGCCGCGGCGTAAGGTCGCCGCTTGTTCTTGTCGGTGATGATGATGATGGTGATGATGCTGCTGCTGATGATGATGGTGGTGATGCTGCTGCTGCTGCTGCTGATGATGATGGTGGTGATGATGATGATGATGATGATGATGATGATGATGATGATGATGATGGTGGTGAGGGACCTCCTGCTCCTCGACCCGTCTCTTCACCTCTGCTGCCATGAGGGTGTTTTGCTGAGCAAGCTGTCCCTGATGGGCCTGTTTTCCACCACCACCACCACCACCATCACTTGGAGGGGGGATGGAGGTGCAGGAGGAGGAGGAGGACGACGAGGAGGAGGAGGAGGAGGAGGAGGAGGAGGAGCCCCTCCCCCTCCAACTTATGGTGGTGGTGGTGGAAAACAGGCCCATCAGTCCCCCCGCAGGTGCTGGAGGGCCGGGGCTGCGACTGCTCTGGCTGCCGCGGCTGCGCGGGGGGTGGCGGCGGTGCTCAGATCGACGGGGCGAAGCGCCCCGCGCGTCGGGAGGGGCTCGGCGGGAGGCGTTCCGGAGAGGGCCTCGCCTTCGAGGATCGAAGGCGTTGCTATCTTCTCCTCGGCGGAAGGCGGAGGAAGGGCAAGGATTGCAACGAAGGATTGCAAAAAAACGAAGGATTGCAAAAAGGTGTTTTTGCAATCCTAGGTTTTTTTTTTTGCAATCCTACGAAGGTTTTTTTTTTGCAATCCTTTTTTGCAATCCTTGGTTTTTTTGCAATCCTTCGTTCAAGATGCGGCGGAAGCAAAGCGAGGCCGCCTCCGACGGCGGGGGCTGGCGGGAGGCCGGCGGAGGCCGCCAGAAGTGCAAGAGGCGTTCCCGAAGAGGCGGCAAGGTTTTTTGGTTCAGGATTCCCAGAGCCCGCCATGCGCATACCGCGTCGTTCAGCCGGCCAAGGAGCCACGGAATCCAGCGAAGGAAATCGGTGACGCCCAAGCGTCCCACAGGTTGGGAAGTTGGCCTGTCACCTGGGCCGACCAGACGATTTTGCGTATGCGTCGGGCCCCTCCCAGCTGACCTTGGTCGTGGTCCATGCTGACCGTCGCCGACTCGCAGGGATTATCCACGAATTGACGCCGACCGAGATGGACGGCGACGAAGATTGACACGACGTTTTCGCGTTCAGTCTACGTCATACGTAGTCCCCGTCATCTGCCCCTCCATCAGAGATAGAAATGTGGTGATACCGTTCCCCATAGTTGTATTGCTTCTGTATAGTTGGGGCCTCCTTGGTGGCCCTCGTCGCCTCGAGTGGAGCCGCCTCGGAATGCTGGTCAGGACGCACCCGGGGAGAGTTTCGGGGAGCAGCAGTAGCGGTATCGTTCAGTTTCCTCAGGTGCGAGGGGTGGTTCGGCTCCTGCGAGGGGTATCTTGGAGGGCAGGGCAGCTGCGTTTCCTGATGGGCCTGTTGTCCACCACCACCACCACCACCACAACCATAAGTTGGAGGGGGGAAGGAGGCGGAGGACGAGGAGGAGGAGGAGGAGGAGGACGAAGAGGATGAGGACGAAGATGAGGAGGAGGAGGAGGAGAAGGAGGAGGACCCCCTCCTCGTCCAACTTCTGGTGGTGGTGGTGGTGGAAAACAGGCCCATCATTTCCGAACCCGTGGTTGGACCCCGGCGCGTGCGGCATGTCTGACCGCGGCTACTTGTGTGACCCAGGGGGCGTGCTGTCGCAGCCTTGCCGCGTGGCCGCATCAGAAGCGCTGGCGGCGATTCGGAACACTACGTCCGTAAAGTGCAGGGGTGGCAAGGTTTATGGCTATCAGGTCGGGCTCGCCATCGTGTCTCATGTTCTTCCAGACGGGTGGGCTGTGTCCTCCGATGTCCAGGTGACGCATGAGGAGGTTGACGAGTTTGCAGTTGCCCTTTTTGACTCGTGGGGCATTGGGAATGGAGATTGCGGTAATGGTGTGTTGTTATTGCTTGGAATGGACCTCCGTTATTTTTACATCCGCACAGCCAGTGCCACCCGCCTGGTTCTGTCCGATGCGCGTGCAGGGGAGATCGCGTCCCGCGTGCGCGGCGAGCTCGCGTTGAGAAGATACGACGAGGCGATGACGGAAGCCGTGCAGAGTGTTCGGGATGTCCTGAGCCAGGCCCACGCGTCGGAGCCATCGTGGTTATGGTCCGCGCTGCTGAGCTTTGGCCTCGTGCTGATGGCATGCAGTTGCGCGTGCTCCTTCGCCACGAAGTTGTGTCCGCACTGCCGAACGCCGACTCTGAACACCACGCTCGTGGTGGAGGCGCCTCCGCTGAGCTGCAGCGCGGCTGGAAGCGGCATCCGAACGTACGCCTGCTCCAGGTGCGGCTACTCGTGCGCCAGGGAGGAGTCCGTCGTGATGCCGTGCACGTTCGTGGCCGGGTACTGCGCCATGTGCGGGGTCGGGGAGGGCGGCGGCAGCCCCGGGCGCGACGGGGGCGGCGGCTTTGGCGGCGGCTACTGCGAGGGCGGCGGCGGCGGCGGGGCCTCGTTCTGAGAGGAAGACGGCGGGCGCCGACGGAAAAAGTCTCAGTCGCTCCGGTCCTGCCGCACGTCGGAGTCTTGCCCGCGAGGCGGGGCGCAGCTTGCTGCGCTGGGTGCTGCAGGCCACGCCCAGCTCAGCCCCTGAGATCCGACGCGATGAGCAGATTGCCAAGTCGCGAGAAGTCACGGCCCGAGCCCTGATTCTGGGCCCCTCTCACTTTCCGAGCCGGGTCGATCCGTGATGGCTCCAGGGCCCGTAGCCAGGCGAAGACACCGTGTGTGTCAAGACTGCGAAGCCCGATCTCGAGGGCTGCAGCGCCAGCTTTGGCTCTCCTCTCGGCTGCAGCACCGGCGCACGCCAGGTCTCCCGCGGGGGTCTTCGCGGCCTGGGGCGCAGAGAGCCGCCCATCCTCAGTGTGTGGCGCGGGGGCGGCAGGATGAGCGCGCCTCTCGCAGCGCGGAGCACAATTTCAGGATGTCACTACCTACAAATAGACACTACATCACAGAAGTTCCCGCTCGCCTTGGATTGAAGATCGTCAAATCGCGCCCGATAGCGCGTAATAGTCGTCAAAAAGCGACAGCTGGCAACCAATAGGGCTCAGGAGCGCCATGCGAGGGAGATGCATCATGTCCGTTTTTCTTGCGAGTGGGCGCGCTAGTGGGCGCCATGGGGACGACCAAAAGCTTCCGTGAGCTTCTGTCTGAGTGCTTGTTTTTCAGGTCTGGGCAACAGTGGCCGTGATTGCCACTCTCCTTCCCCCCCGGATCACGATACGCTCTTCTGACTACAATCGAACAAAAATGTCCTAAGGATTCTTCTCGGTTCTCGGAAGGCTCCTAGAACAGTTCCCGAGGAATTCGTAGTCGTTGCTGTCGCCAGCGCCCGGGAGGTCGAAAACAAAATGGTTTTTCTGGAGAAGGGGCCCGATCTCTGGGGGGAGGAGCGGGGGGGAGAAAGAAAGGGAGGCGAAGGAGGAGCGAGGAGGAGAATGGAGGAGAGAAGAGGAGGAGGAGGAGGAGGAGGAGGAGGAGGAGGAGGAGGAGGAGGAGGAGGCGGAGGCGGAGGAGGAGGAGGAGGAGGAGGAGGAGGAGGAGGAGGAGGAGGAGAGGAGGAGGAGTGAGGAGGAGAATGGAGGAGAGCGGAGGAGGAGGAGGAGGAGGAGGAGGAGGAGCAGGAGGAGGAGTAAGAGGGGGACTGCATATTTTTGCACATTTCGTCGTCGGCTGTTTTTTGGGGGGATCCGTAGGGCTCCCTGAAGCTCCGGAGGTTTCTAGAGACCCAGGAGGCCGGCGGCGACAAGTCTCCAGTTGATTCGCCGGCCCCCGTTCACCTCGCAAGCACGTTGCTCTGCTCTCTGGCGGTAGGAAAGGGGTATGGTGTATAGGGGTGTGGTGCTAATTTTATGGAGACGGGAATCTGGCGATCGCGGGGGGGGGGGCGGCGACCCCCCCCCTCCCCCACCGAGCACGCCCGCTGGCGCGGATTCTAAAAGAACATGCTCGCCACACCACCCTCAAGGCCACAAAGCCCCAAGCATCTTGATGCGGTCTGTACGGTTTCCAGCGTTTTCTTAAACTATTCCAGGATGCCCGCCCATTCAAAATTGACGGGCCCAACAGCGACTTTGGGTTGGGTGGGGGCTCCTTGATTCTGAGCGGCTCGCTTGGGTGGAGCGGCGCAGCGTCGATCGGCGCGGCGGGCGACAGCGCCGACGCCGTCGCTTGCACGAGCGACGAGCAGCGCGTGGACGTCCATGGCCAGCCTGCTGGGGCTCGCGCGCAGGGGGACCAGTAGCTGCGGCTTGAGCGGTGCGCCCGCCAGCGGCGCCCGCGCGACAAGCAGCTGGGCGCCGCGCGGCGCGACGGCGTCGCTCACCGCCGCGACGCGCAGCGCCACGGGATCCAGCGTCAGCGGCCGACCAGGAGAGCCCGGCGGCCCTGCCTCGACCCCGCCGCGCCGGAGAAGGCGCGATGCCGCGACGCCGCGGGAGGCGGGGGGCCGCCGGGGCCCGGCCCGGGCGCAGGGCCGTCTACCAGCGTCGCGGCAGAAGCGGGCACCGCGGCGTCGGGCTGCGAGGCGGAATCTATCGCTAGCTGCTCCACGCCTGCGAGAGAGAAGAGTGCAGCGCGCGCCCCGCTGCTTCCCGGCGCGACGGGGGGCAGTGCCGGGATCCCGAGCAATTCGAGGGCGTCGTTCCTCGGCTGACTTTGCTGCGCGGCGCCTCGAGGGTTTTTGCTCCCGCTCGCCCGGGCGGCCGCGCGAAGGGCGCCAGCCGCGCGGCGCCCCGAGCGGAATTTCCGGCAGGCGACGTCCGCGACCGCGCGGCCCCGCGCCGCGCAGGGGTCTGGCGGGCCCTTTGCGGAGGCCCCGGGGCGCGACGGAGACGCGGGGGCGCGGCGACGCGACCCGGCGGGCGCCGGCGCGCCGCGACGCGCTCGCGCGCCGCGCCGCGCCGCGAGCGGCAGCGGGGGGGCGCGTGGCCACGGGCAGCGCGACGGGCTCGATGTCCCTTCGCGGGCCCGGCCGCGCCGCGCCATGGGGGGCCCCTGCAGGCTCGCCCGGGCGGCCGCGGAGAGGCTGCCAGCCGCCTGCTGCCTCCAGCGGAACCGTTGTATCCGACGAAAAGAATCTATATACCACCGTGCCAGGCCAGGGTCATCCTGGGCCGTAGGATGGCCATCCTGGGCCGTAGGATGGCCATCCAGGCCAGGAGGGCGTATACACCATCCTAGGGCCCAGGAAGGCCCTGGCCTGGCACGGTGGTGGTGTATAGATGCTTTCTGCGTATTGTAAGGACGAGGGGGGGCGGGCCCCCCCTGGGCGCGCGCTGCAACCCTTCGCCCCCCCCCCCCGCGGGCGACGTCGCGACCTTGCCGCCCCGCGCCGCGCGGCGGGCAGATTTTCGGGCGGGCCGCCTTGGGCGCGGCGGAGGACGGCAGCGCGATTCCCCGCGCTTCTCGGACAGCGCCACGGGGCGGAACGCTTGACGACGGGGCGGCACGGGGCGCATCTGGAGGCGGAGTCCACCGGGGCCCGCAGGGCGCCACACACTGTGGGGCTCGACCACGCGGACCGCAGGCTCAGCCCCCGACGCCCCGTCCGCGCCTTCCCCGCGGGCCAAGAGCACGCGGCGACCACGCCCCTCTGTCGGCGGACGGCAATCAGGGCCCCGCCGCAGGCGCCAGGCCGCCGCCGGCGCGCCGCGGCAGCGCCAGCGAGAACAGCGGCGCGGGGCGGCGCGGCACGTCTCGCAGCGCGACGTGATTGCGCGAAGCGCGCCGCGACGGCGGGAGCGCCTCGGGGCGGCGCGCGCCGCGCCCCTGGGCGCGGGGAGCCACCGGAAGCCCGCCCCAGGCGTCAGGCCGACCACCTCGCAATCTACACGGGGGCGCGACCGCTCGAAAGGTCGCGCATCCCCCACCGCCCCATGCAATCTGCCACCCCCGCCGCCCGGCAGGAACAAGGCGGCTGCGCCTCTGCAGGTGGGCGACCGCCGGGTCCCCGCCCCCAGAGCCTACGACCGCTGCGAGGGCGCGCGCGCGAGGTTGACAGGGTTCGCGAACCAGGCCCCCGGGCGGGTCGGTTTGGGCGCCAGATCCCGACGGACATGATTATTGCCGCGCGCCCGGGCCCTCAACGCAACGCACTCCGAGTCATTTCGCCGGACCCACCTGGCGAGGCCTTCACCGAAGCAGACCGCCCACCCGCCAGCAGGCGGGGACTGGGCGTCCGCAGAACGCGTTCGGTTCACATCAAGGAAGCCCAGCCACCGTTACCGGGCGCGGTCGACACAGCCGGCGCAGCCATACCAATTCTAGGTGGTGAGATTTAGAGCGAAGGCACCACGGCCTCACGGCCACAACATCACCTAATAGGGTGAAGGCATCCACCTGACTCCAACACAGGCCACCGAGCGGAGGCGCGCTGCGAAACGCCTCTCTGCCGTCAGTGAATTTGCCGACGCCGGCCGCGGGACTGATCGCACCACCAGCATCGCCGCGATGCGGTCATAAGTTGCACAGCGCCCAGGAACAGTCAGGCCCGAGTCGTGCCCGATCCCGCAGCGCACGGACCTCTCAGACCGACCTTCGTGGGGCCCGATCGCCCGGCTCGTCTCGGTGCCCCTTCCCAGGCGAGCCACCAGGCGCGCGTCAATGCCCACCGATAGCACGCCAGTGCTAGCCTCTCTCTCCTCTGAGTTCGCGTTCGCTGCGTGAACAGCCGGCACATCTCCCGCAGCTCTGGCTCTGAGCTGCAACGGGGCGGGGGCCCAAGCCGGTGCCTTTCTGTCTGCGGACGTGCAGGCGGAGCGCCCCGCGCTCTGATCGCCACGTCCCGCCCCGTGCTTTCCAGTTCGGCCCGCACAGGCCGCGCCATGGAGGAGGACAACGTCCCGCCCTTTATCGCACATGCGCCTCCCGCCACATGAGGTCGGCGCGGAAGGCGCCTGCAACTCTCGAGCCATGCGGAGTTCCGCCCGCTGAAGTGTTGCGATGTCTCTCTCTCTCTCTCTCTCTCTCTCCTTCTCTCTGTCTCTCGTTATGTTATGTTTGTTACGCTATGCTTCTCTCTGTCTCTCTCTCTTTCTCTTTCCCGCTCACTTTTGTTTGTTATATCTCTTTATATGTATCCGTACTGTTTCTCTCTCTCTCTCTCTCGCTGTCTTTCGGTACACGTGCCTCTTGTGACTTCCCCAACCTTCTGTATCCACATCCCTTCCGTATTTATTGTTCGTGCCGTTTCTTCGATATCCTTCTTCACTGCTCACCCTGCCCGAAATATGCGAGAGGAAACGAGAAGAGAGGAGAGGGTGGGGAGATGCTAGATGTATGGATAAGTGGGGGGGAGGGGAGATGATATTTCGGCAGGGATGGCGGGAGTCGCGCAAACGGGTAACTGGAGGATGAAACGGGAGTTAGATAGGGGACGTCGTTTTGTTCGGGTGGTTGATATGGGCTTCGACTGGGACGGTGTCGGGGTGAGGGCCGCGGAGTGGGAGCGAAAGGTCTGCGGCAAAGGGCGGGCAACCTGTCCAGATGCGCAGGGGATGGAAGGGGACGGGTTGGAGGAGGTCGAGGCAGAGTGGCGGAATGTTGGTGGGGATGCGGGTTGCGGAGTGGCACGGACTTGGAGCGAATCATGGCTAGGGCGTTGAAGGGAGAGGGGGGTGAAGGTGAAAAGGACTTCGGTGGACAACACAACACACAACAGCGACAAACAAAAACTAGCAAGAGAGATATTGGAATGCAACCGCCTTTCTTAATGCGTGTACATATGTATACCGAGAAGCAGGGAGAGAGAGAGAGAGAGAGAGAGAGGGAGAGAAATGAAGAACAACATACAGAGACAGAGAGATTGGGATACATACAGTGGCGTAAAGGTAATAGCACTAATTCAAGGGAGTTGGGATTTCCAAATACTGCACTCGAGAAGGAGAAGCGGAACGCAACGGAGGGCGGGAGGGGGAGGTTGGGACGTCGAAAGAATGACGCCGAAGGCGAGGCGGCCAGTGTAGCGCAGTGAAGCGTAGGGCAATCAGCATCGTCCTCCTAGCCTTGCGTTTACCCTGCCGTTCTGCCTCCATCCCCCCTCCGTCCGTCCATCCTTTCTCCCCTCGTTCTCTCCCTCCCGCCTTTCTCCCCTCGTCCTCTCCTTTCCCCCCATCCTTTCTTCTCTCGTTCTCTCCCCCTCCCTCCATCGTGCCCGCAGCGGTTGCCTGTCTGTCTGCATGTCTGTCTGTTTGTCTGTCTGTCCCCCAAGCGCGGCTGGGGCGCGCCCTCGAGGCGTGGCTGGGGGGCGCCCCAGCGACGTGGGAGCCCGAGAGAGAGAGAGAGAGGGAGTGCCTGTCTATCTGTCTGTCTGTTTGTTTGTCTGTTGTTTTGTCCTCCATCCTCTCCCCATAAGCTGGAAAAGGGTGGCAGCGGGCAGGCGGGGGGAAGGGCACTGCGCGGCACCACCGCGAAGCGCAGGCGCAAGCGTCGCGGGCACTTGGAAGGTGCCGCGCGTGAGGGGAGGCCCCGCGCCAGAGACCCATGCGGAGTTCGTCCTGGCCCCCTCCTCCCTCCCTGCTCCTTCGTCGCCGTGCTCCTGCTCCTCCTCCTCCTCCTCCTCCTCCTCCGTCGTCGTCCCTTCTCCCCCCTCCGCCCTCCTCCGTCGTCATCCTCTCTCCCCGCGTCCGTCCTCCTCCTTCCCTTCCTCTCCTCCTGCGTCCTGCCCCCGCCCTCCTCCTCCGCGGGCCGTCGACGAGCCGCTTCCAAGGTCTGGGCCCGCCCCCCGCCCGCCGTCCGTCCCGTGCCTCTCGCTCTCCTCCCCCCTGCCCCGCCGCTGTCCGCCCCCGCCCCTGCCCCCTCCATTCCTGGCCCTCTGCCCCTCCCTCCTCCCAGATCATCCCTCCCCTGCCCCTCTACCTCTCCCCCCCGCCCCCTCCTCTATCCCTCCCCTGTCCCTCCCAAGTCCTTCCTGTCCCATCTACCCCTCCCCCTTCCCCCCTCCGCCCCATCCTCCCTCCCCCTTCCTCCCAAATCCCTCCTCCGCATCCTTGGCATCGCCGAGGATCACCAAGGGCCCCACGCCTGAGATCCCCACGGAGTACTCGGTCGGCATACGCATGCTAGGCAAGGAGTTGCTCGACCGGGACCCGAGCAGGCGACCACCCGCGGCGGAGGTGCTGAAGAAGCCCGTCGTACAGGACGCGGCGGGCCCGAAAAGCGCACGAAACGCGCACGTCTTTTCATCCCACATGTGTTGCCCCCCGTTCACGAGTACCCGACCGGTGCCCCAGCGGACGACAGGCGTACGTTTCTCCACCCGACGTGTACACCTAGGAGGGGTTCGGGTTTGTGGGCCGTTCCTTAGATGTGTGGCGGGGAACCTCTTCGTTGCAGAGGCTCGCCGCGGCCACAGAAAGCCCCGCGGTTTCCTATGTGGCATTCCTCCTGGCAGTGGCACTGCTGTATTGCCCACCGTGCACACAAGCCCGACCGGTGCCCCCGCTCAGGGGGCCACTTGCGAACACTACCCGTGCCCCGCCGGACCCTACCCCACCCTCCCCCTCAGAAATCGTGGGGGGTAGGGGTAGGGTTCGCATGTGGCCCCCATGCGCAGCGCGGTCCCCGCACCCCCCGCCGCGCGCGTGCTAGGGGATTCCGTGCGGATTGGTTGCGCCGTTGGGCTCTCCGCGCGGTGGCGTCGCGCGGCCCGCCGCAGGACTGCGTTTCGCCCCGCCCGGAGGCGGTGGCCCCGCGGGCGGATGGCCCAGGAATACTCGCGCCGCGAAAAAGACGCGACGGGAGGGTTTTTTCCTATTTTCGGCCTCCGGGGGCCCTTGCCGGGCCCCAGGGCCGTCAACAACACATTCAGGATGGAGTATCGGTCGACGCTCTGGAGACGTCACGGCGTCGGGGGTCTGGGGACGCAGCCTGAAGGGGGACAGTCAAGACGCCCACATATTCGGCGGCGAGAGCCCAACCCTACCCTCGCCGATCAACGATTCAGGCAGCTCGATGGGCGGCAGGGGTAGTTAGGCTTCGGAATTCGTCGAATGCGTGGCGAAACCAGGAACCTGCCCCCGCCCCCCATCGATTCAGGAGAATCGATGGCTTGCGTGGGTACCCCGAACTTCTTATTAATCAACCAGGGGGACGTGAAAACGCGGCGCGGCCAACCCCCCCCCCCGCACCACCCCCGCGCCCCAGCGGGGAAGGGAACGAACCCTAGACCCCCTCTGGCACCCCCGTGAACGCGCCGCGGCCAACCCCTAGGGGCTCCCTGGCACTCCCGGGGGGGGGGGGGCGATTATTCAGCGATCCAGAGTAGGGTTCGGATGTGGGCACCCAACAGTCAAGGCGCTGAAGTGCGAACCATGGATTGCAACGAAGGATTGCAAAAAAAAAAACACAGGATTGCAAAAAACCCATGGTTCTTTTGGCAATCCTTCGTTCTTGGGTTTTTTTGCAGTCAAGGCGCTGAAGTGCGAATCATGCCGGGCGCACGGGGAGACACGCTTTTTCGGGCCGCTCCTTCGGCCTGGGCCGGGAAGGCCGTTCGTGGCCGAAGCACGCCGCGCCAGGAAGGCCCCGCCTAATCTGGCGTTGCTCGCTCAGGAGGAAAACCAAAATCACGCAGACACGGTTCATCGTCGATTCCCCCGAAGATCTAGAGAGATATGGGAAGTGGAGGGGGGGGGGAAGACAAAAACCCAGAACATGCAGGAGAAGATGGGGGGAATCCTTTTATTTGTGCGTGTTTATTTGTGTGTGTCCCAGGGCCCCTTCACTCATGTCAGCACGCTGGCTGTACAGCACGGCCATGACCATCCCACCGGCCGGCGGCCGAGGCGCGGCCGCCGTGCTCGGCGCGTCACGGGGGGGGCCTGTGCGGCTGGGGGCGACGGCACCACGGTGCCGCAGCCCCGCGAGGACCTTGCGTGGGCCTTCAGGACCTGGCGTTGCGACCTCCAGCTTGGAGGCCCGTGCCAGACGGGGCTGGGACGAGGATGGATCTTTTCCAGAGCGTCGCCGGACAGCTCTCAGACCGTTCGGGGACGTCCTGAGAAGGCCGCGGCGCCCGAGTCGTCTTCCAGAGCCGCCCTGAGCTCAGAGCCTCTCGACTTATCCTCACCCGAATTGATTCTCGACATGGCTTCGTCTCAATGTGCCGCTGACCATGAGGAGGGATGGATAGACGAGGGGGGGGGAGTTGGAGAAGAGTGATATCGCGACGCTCTCAGGAGGTCGTGAGGAAGATGCTCGACGAGGCCCACTCTTGCCGTCGCCCCCCGCCAGTCCGTAGGCCTGGGCAGGGATTGGCAAGCAAGGGCTCAGAGTGACGGATGTGGAAGAGGAGGAGAGTTTGGGAAAGGGGGCGGAGGACGAGGAGGGAGGCGATGAAGACGATGACCAGGAACAAAGGCATGATTGATGTCAACAGTAGAGTCAACGAGGATTGAAATCAAGTATGTCCCAATGCTTATCTCCGCTGTCTTTCCTCCTGTCACTCTCTCCCTGGCTGCTTCTCCTCCCACTCCCGCTCCTCGCCCTCATCTTCGTCGTCATAATTTTGGTTCGTCGTCTTCCGCTTGCTTATCTCCATCATTTGCATTATCATCTCTTTCTTTCCACTCCCCGCATCTTCTCTCATTCCCCCCTCATCCCTTCTCTTCTATGCTTCTGGCCAGAATCAGGGTGTCCACCCCTTTCCTCCCCTCGCCCCCCTCCCTCCCCTCCTCCCCCCATTCGACCACAACCACGACGATGAACGGCGACTACGATGCCAACGACGACGATAAAGACGACGCAAACGACGACGACGAAGATGACGCCAACGACGACGATGCCAACGGCGACGACGACGACGACGACCGCGGAGATCGGAGCCGGGACCACGCAGGCCCCTGGAGGGAGGAGGGATGAGGGGAGAGGGCAAGGATGAGGGAAGAGGAGGAGAAGGAGGAGGAATGAAGAGGGGATGACAATCTGCTTCTCCTGCTCCTCCTCTTGCTGCTCCTCCTCATCCTCCTCCTCCTCCTCCTCCTGCTGATGTCCAATCATCTTCCTCCGTGGCAGTTTTTGTTAGCTGCAGCCGAGGAGTCTAGGCAGTCCATTTTTAGCGCGCCCCTTTCTCCCATGATCACCGCGACTAGTGGTAGCCTGTATACATGTCCTTCGATGTTCCTCCCCCCTCCTTTCCGGAGCAGCAGTGAGCAGTTGTTTGCCCTATTGTTTCGACCACAGCACCTCCCCAGAAAACGAGGACAAGGGTGGAAAAGGAGGAGGGAGGAGGAGGACAGGGCCGAGGGCAGGGAGGAGGGAGGAGGAGGAGGAGGAGGGAAGAGGGAACTCCCCTCCATACCCAGGCCAGTGGACCCCTCCCACTCTGTGCGGCTCCTGCGTTGGCAAGGCGCAGCCCTCTCATGTTACATGCCGCGCGCTGCGCGAACGAGTTTTGGGGAACTGCGGTTGTGGGCCCCAGCGATCCCCGAAGCTGCCCCCCTCGGGAGCCTTGAGACGGGGGTCATCAGGAGTGAAAAAAATACACAGACACAGTGAATCGTCGATTCCCCAGAAAATAAAGGAAAATATGGGAAGAGGGGGGAAGACACAAACCCCGGAAATATTGGAACACATTGCGAATCCTGTTAGTTGTGTCTATGTGTTTGTGTGTCCCAGGGCCCCTTCAGGTCAGTGTAAACGGGTGCCAGAGCGCCGAGCCATGGTTGCACTAACCCAGGCTAGCGCGCAGGATCCTGGAGGATCTTGTTCGGGGGGTCATAGAGGGGGGGGCTGTCCCAAGGCTGGGTCAGGGAGCGAGCCCAATTGGATGCCCGCACTTCCTTCTTTCGTTTGCCGTGTGGAGCGGTTTTCCTCCCAACCCCACCTCCGACCCTACCCCACCTTTACGTCCTCCCAACTTGCAGGATCTTTCGAAGCCTGATTATCCCGGGACTGCCCTGCCCCGGGGTCAGTGCGTCCCCGACCCAGATTGAAGTCGGGCCTGTCCCTCTACAGGGGGGTATATTCAAAAATAGTCAAAACATAGTCTGGGGACGATTTTTCTACAATTTTTGGACATGACTGGGATATGCTTGAGTAGTTCAGATTCTTCGCCCCAAATCCGCCTGTATGGGGACAGGCCCGACCTATACCCAGATCTCCTTGGCATCGCTCGGACGTGTGCGCTTGTCCCCCGGCGAGGCGAGCCTGCAGAGAACTTGGACCATCCTGGAGCACATCGGAGCACCCCGAGGAAAAGCCAGGCACGAGACCAAGCAGCGCACAGGGAGTGGACGTCCGAGCGATGGCAAGTCTTCAACGGTGTGATTTGGCGGCGCGCACAGGGGGGTAAGGGGAAAGAGGGAGGGCTTCTCAGAAGAGAGAAGGCGCCAGCGCCCTACATCGTCTGCAGGTGCAGGGGACGGGTGCCTTCTAAGAAGCAGCCTCCTTCTGAGAAGACCCCCCCTCCCCCTACCCCTGAGATCCGATGTAGCGACAAAATTGCAACATCGTGGAAATCTGCGCCCAGAGCCCCAGACCCCATCTTTCTGCGTCATTTTTCGAGCCAGATCGATCTGTGAGGGCCCCGGGACCCGAAACAAGGCGACAACTCCCGGCTCGAAATAATTGAGTCGCCAGGATCTCAGGGATACCCCTGTGCGCGCCGCCAGCGATGGCAAGTCTTCGACGATGTTGTTGTTGCCCCCTCCCCGCGGCGGATCGGGCCGAACGACAGGGGGGATAGGGAAAGGGGGGGTTACGAAATCTGTTGCCTGGAGCTGGTTTCGGCCCCGCCGCCGGGCCCACTCCTCGATTCATGGGCGCCGGGAGGCGCCTGGAAAATCAGCTACGTGAGCTGATTCTCTACCCTTTGCTATCCCCCCCTTTCGTTCCCCCCGAAACGATGGCAAGTCTTCGACGATGTTGTTGTTGCTCCCCCCCGCGGCGGAGGTCAAGGCGGAGGAAGAGGATGGAGGAGGAGGATGAAGGAGGAGGAGGAGGAGGAGGAGGATGGAGGATGGAGGATGGAGGAGGAGGAGGAGGAGGAGGAGGAGGAGGAGGAGGAGGAGGAGGAGCCGGGCCTACGACGACACGGTGCTCGGGCACCTGGAGAAGCTCGCCGGCCAGCCCTTGTTCGCCGACGCGCGCGAGCAGGCTGTTTTGCCCTTGGCAGTTGGCGGGCTTCGGCTGCAGGGACTCGCCAACCGCCGTTTGCCGGCCTTCGTGGGAGCGTGGCAGGCGTGTTTGTCTGGCGTCTGCGCTGAGCTGGGGCTGACCAGCCTGGAGTCCTTTACGCAAGCCTGCCCGAGGGCATGGGCCGCCGCGGAGGAGGCAGGCCGAGCACTGCGGCAGGGCGCTGTCCCCTGGCTCGCGGCCGCGGCGGATCCCGCGCGGAAGGCGCAGCGCACCCTCTCGGCCGCGGAGCAGCAGGCTCGCAGGCAGCGGCTGCTGGACACCCTGCCGCCAGACCAGGCCGCGCTGCTGTGCTCGGCAAGGGGGAATGGCGCCGGCAGCTGGCTACTGCCACCAACGCAAGCGGACCACTGCCTCGCCGACGCACGCTTCCGGCCGGCGCTCGCCCTCCGCTCGCGACTGCCTCTACCGGACGCCGCCAGCGACGTCTGCCTCCGCTGCTGGCCCAACGGCGCGAGGTGCGGCACGGACTTGGTGGCCAACCCCGGCCACGTGGTCGACTGCCATGTGGGCGGCGGGGCCATCGCACGCCACGACGGCGTGCAAGACTGGCTCGCGGGCTGGCTGCGCGCCCAAGGGGCCGCGGGGGTGGCGACCGAGCAGGCCGTTCCCGCTTGGGACGGGGCTGAGCCTGACGGCACTTCCGAGGCCGCGCGGCTCGACGTGGCTTTCACCGACCCGACCGCCGGCCCGGCGCACGCCAACGTCGTCGTCACGAACGCGGCGCTGGGCGCGAGCACCGCGGCGGGCTGGAGCCGCGCTGCGCGCGACGGCGCTGCTGCGGCGGCCGCGGAAGTGCGCAAGCGCAGGCGCTACCCCGGCCCCGGGCTGACGGCCTTCGCCCTTGAGACCCTCGGGCGGGCTGGGCTCGAAGCGCAAGCGCTGCTCTGGACCTGGGCGCGCGGGGACGCAGAGGCGCTCGCGGCGGCCCGGCAAAGCCTCGCCGTGGCTTTGCAGCGGGGCAACGCCGAGGCCTACCGCGCGGCCTGCTTACCCGCCCGAGGACCGCCCCGCAGGGTGGCCGGGGCCGGCAGCGGAGGCGCCTGGCTGCCCCGCCGCGCGGCCGGGGCCGACGGCGCAGGCGCCGGGCCAGAGGCTCACCGCGCCCGGCACGCTTGAGCGACTCTGGGCCGCGGCGCGGCCTCGAGAGAGCAGCCTGCCCGGGGGGGCGTCGCCCGCGGCGCCTCGAGAGCAGCCTGCCCGGGGGGGCGGCGCCGCGCTGACTGCTGCCCGGGGACAGGCCGCAGACTGAGACAGGGCGCGCGCCGCCGGCAGCGCGCCTGGCTGACTGCTTCTTCCACCGCCTCCTCCCCCCTCTTTCCGCTCCTTGCCTCCAGCGGTCGCGCGAGCGCCTAACGGGGGGTGCCGGTGGCGCAGGGTCCCCGGCCGCGCGCCCGTCGCCTCGGCCTCCCGGTTCCCTCCAGGCCCCCCCCCCGCCTCCTCCTCCACCCCGCTCCCGCCTGAGAGCCCGTTCCGCTGCAGGCTGCAGGCGGGCGGAGAGGAATCCGCGCGCGGACCGGCTCCGAAGGGGGGCCGGGGCCCATCCCTGCTGCTCTCGCCAGCTGCGCCGGCTCGGGCGCGCGGTGGCGGAAGTGGCCCGTGGGTCGTGTCCTGTCTCGTTGGCGCCACCCGCCTCTGCCCGAGTCAGGTCAGGACTGCCTCGCTCCCTGCTGCTGCTTGCTGGCCCGCCTCTGTCTACTCCCTTCTGTTCTGGCGCAGGAGGAGGAGGAGGAGGAGGAGGAGGAGGAGGAGGAGGAGGAGGAGGAGGAAGAGAGGAGGAGGAGGAGGAGGAGGAGGAGGAGGATGTTGTTGTCGTTGCCCCCCCGCGGCGGAGGTCAAGGCCGAGGAGGACGCCGCGGCACCGCCGGCGGACGCGCCGCCTCGGGCGGGCGCGCCGGCGGCGGCCGAAGCGGGCGGCTCCGCACCCTCGGGACTCGGGCCGCGGGGGGCCGTCGGCCAGCCGCGCACAGAGGGGGGTAGGGGTATTCCAGGCCCCCTGGATGGGGTCGGAGCAGATTGTGTCAGAGGATCGCGCCGCGTCGCCGATGCATCGCCGGTGCATCGGCGATGCGACGGCGATGCGGTTCGATGTGGGGCCCGATTTTCTCCATTCCGACGTCGCCGATGCATCGCCGAGGTCGCCTGTGCATGGCCGATGCATGATGCATCCGCGATGCGGCGAGATTTTCCGACCCCATCTATTCGGATCCCACCTAGGAGGTTTCTAGGTATGGGGGAAGTCTTCTTAGACGCACCCCTGCTTCTCAGAAGGCACGGGCCTTGTTTGTATGTAGATGCAGGGCCGGCGGCCTTCTGAGAAGCAGCCTCATGGAAACCTTCCCCCCTGCACCTACCCCCCTTGTGCCCGCCGCCAACGTCGGTCGTTTTCTGGTCGTCGCCGTGGTCGGCGGCTGCGGCGGCGCAGTGCGGCGGCGGCGGCGGCAACGACATGTTTGTGGTCGCCGTCGTGGTCGTCGTCGGTCGCCCTCCGTTGTCGACCGCTTGTCGTCGTGGGCCTGGTCTGCCAGGTGTCGTCGGCTGTCTTTTTGTCGCGGTCGTGGTCGTCGTCGAGGTCCTTGGGTCGCGGTGGGAAGTATATCGGCGGCGACACATACGCGAACAATTGTAGAACAATTGTCCCTCTATTTTACTTTGACTATGTTTGGATACTCCTCCTGTGGAGGGACGTGCCCGACCTAAACTTACTGCTGCTTTACCCCTCCCCCCTCTGATCGGCGGCGAGCGAGGGGAGAGAGGGAGAAGGAGAAGACCCTCTCAGAAGGCGGCGGGGCTTCTTAGAAGCCTCGTTGGCTTTCTGGGAAGTGTTGTTTTGTCTTCGGGGGTGTGGACTAGCGATCGCAAACATGGGTCAAGGGGGCGTGGACTAGCGACGGGTTCCGTTTTCAGAGGAAATCGCGGACTTCTGCCGCCGAACGAGGCGGCACTGGCCGCACTATGGGGATGGTACCTCCCCGATCCAGAGATTTTGCGACCGCGCACCAAATCCATGGATCGCTAATCCATGTTTGCGCGCCCCCGATTGTGGGAAGTGTTATTATTTTGTCTTCGGGGGATGCTCAGGGAGCGGTTCAGAAGGCCAGGGGTCTTCCGAGCATTCCGAGGAGCCCTTCTCCTCCTTGCTTCTTCCCCGCCGGGCTCGCCGCCGAGCAGAGGGGAGAGGAGAGGGGTGGAGCAGCAGTAAGTTAAAGTCGGGCCTGTCCCTCTACAGGAGGAATATTCGAAAATAGTGCAAAAAGAGTCTGCGGACGATTTGTTTACTGTCTCTGAGTATGTTTCAGAAACATCGTTTGAGAATCCCTGATGTGTTGCCAAAACCCCCCTGTAAGGGGACACGCCCGACCTAAGAGTAGCAGCAAGTGGGAGTGGGGGGGGGTGGTCGTTGGTCGTGAGTCATGTTCGTGGCGGTCCCCGCCTTTTTCGGGGGCGAGGTGGCGGGGGTCGGAGGAGAGCCAGCCGAGTCGAGTCGCGACAACGGCGGCCCTCCCCGGCGGGCTTCGTCCTCTTTGGGGGTTCGTGGGGGCTTCTCGTCGCCACGGCTCGATCCGCCCCGAGAAACGGGGTCGGCATGGGGGGCGAGTTTTGAAGGTTGTTTGCTGGGCGGGATTCCTCCAAGATGGGGGGGTAGCAGTAAGAGGAGGAGCAGGAGGAGGAGGAGGAGGAGGTGAGGGAGAGAGAAGGAAGTCCAGGTTTACACGACAAGGCCTGGGAGTCGGCCCGGGCACCATCCCGTGCGACGACCTTCTTCGCCAATCTTTCGGAAAATCTACTCGGTCCTGTTCAGAGGCCCGCTGGGTCATCTCGGGGTTCGCTTCCACAATGCAGAGAAGGCAGTACCATGCATGTGAAGGAAGAAGAGTTGGCGAGAGGCGGAGAATTAGGAGGAGGAGGAGGAGGAGGGGGAGGAGGGGGTTAGATGGTACTGATGGCTTCGTTCTTCTCCAGATCCATGCCATCCATAACCATGTAGAAGCCCGCGTTCGTCGTGGACAGAAGACCGTAACATGCAGGAGAAGTAGATGGGTGCATTGACGTGGGAGGGAGCGGGGGCGAGAGAGAGAGAGAGAGAGCGAGAGCGAGAGCGAGAGAAAGGGAGGCAGAAGGAGATACAAGCAGGCAGAAGAGAGCAGGCAGAGAAAGAGAGTGAGAACGAGAGAGGCAGACGGGGTTAAGGGAAGATGTGCAATACTCAAATTTGTGCATCGGGGCCCTCTTTGGGCCATGATCGGGGCCTCATGGTGGGAGCCTCTTGGGGACCTACTGCGACATCCTGTGGCGCCTTTGGGAGGGGCATTCCTCTGCCGCTTTCGGGGCCGATTGGTCAGCTTGACTCTCTTAGGACCTGTTAATACCTTCTTGTGCCGGCTTGGGGGGCATCTTTCTTAGGCCGCATTGGAGCCGTATTGGGCCCTCCAGAGCATGCCAGAAGCATATAGGACCGACATGTTTCTGAGAATCGCATGTAGTTGTTTTAGCGGGTATAATTCTACAAGTCCTCTCGCGACCTTTCTCTTTGGGCCTCTTGGGTCGTCCCTGTGGCCTCGTGGGCCTCTTGGAGGCGTGTTGAAGCCGTTTTACGTGCCTCGTTGACCACCTCGGTCATCTTTGGTAACATGGTTATGCCCTTTTAGACCCCTACAGCGATTACTCACTAACTAGGCTCAGCCATTCCGCTGACCCAGAAACATCTTAGAAGGTCATACGATCGATTGGTTATTCCGTACTGGTGCTAGGCAAGCTATGGGTCACCAAGCAGTGAGCCTTCAACGAGAGATTCGCGAAGGGCATCCAGGGGGGGTGCAAACATCACAAATCTCAGAATCAGTGTGTGTTGGAAGATGGTGGGTGGTTTGGACACGTGTGTGACCCTAATGTTTGGGCCAGTCGTTCTCGTGGAGCCTTTTGGGGTCCTTTTGAGGCCCACTGGAAATCTCTTAGAGTTCTTTTAGGTCTCGCTTGGGGCCTCTTGGGGCCATGTTGGCGTACCTTCGGGGGTCTTGGTGTCTGTTTGAGGGGCTCTTGGAGCCGCGTGGGGTAGTCCGGGGCCAGGGGGCTGTCTTGGAGCGGGCGTGAGCCGTCTATGAGCTATTCTTAGGCGGTTTTGCAAGTTAGCAGGGAGCCTGATGGGACAGCTCTGAGATCGGTCGCTACCCATTTTTTGCAGGATCGGTCGCGACCGATTAGTCGCGAACGGTCGCGAACGGTCACCAACGGTCGCGAACGGTGGCGATCGGTCGCGATCGGTCGCGGATCTTCGCGCCGAAGGGAGGGGTGGGGGAAGGGGGATCAAGTTTGCATCTAACACACGTCTGACGTCAGACGTTTGTCAGACAGGAATTGTCGCGAGTTGACCTTTCTGTTCGATAGTGCAATCCTCTCTTTCCTCTTCATGCAAACATTGCAGATTCGACAAGCGTTTGACGTCTAGATGGCATCCTCCTTTTTCCCCTTCGCTCCCCTCCCTCCTCTCCTTCTGAAATCGCAAACGGTCGGTCGAGATCGGTCGCGATAGATCGCGGTCGGTCGCAGGGCGGTATCGAGGATTCGTGACCGCGACCGATCGCGGCCGATTTGTGAATCGAGAGCGATCGGTCGCGACCGATTTGGAGTGTTGATTGGTCGCTACCTATCTCGACTGAGAGACATCGGGTCTCCAATGATCTGGGATGGGGGGGAACCAAGGAGAAGCGAACCCATGCTATCCCACACTGCTTCCCACATGGCAGCGCAGACGTCGGCGCATGACGACTGGGGCCAGCGTCTGGGGGGCCGGGAGACGGCGTGCCCGCGGCCACCGCTGACCGTTTTCCGTCCAGGGACTCGGGCTGAGAGCAGGCGCCCACAAGCATATTTCGTCGCACGTCTCACTCGGATCGGAACGTCGGAGGCCGGGAGATGGTTGTTTGACCCCAGATATTTTGCTTGCATCCCACCAATTTGTTGTTCGCCCTGGGCGATACCGATGACACTGACGAGGACAGTCACGAGGGTGAGGCGAAGGAGGTTGGCCGTCGTTCTTCGCTTGCCCATAGCCGCCTCTGTCGCGACGGATCGCGTGCTCGGCCGTAGTCAGGAGCCAAGTACGTGAGAGACGCGGGCTCCTACAGAAAGAACGAGGCCGCTGCTGACCTGGGCGAAGAGTGGAGGAAAAGGAGTGGTGGAGGTCAGGGGAGAGGGGTGACGAGGAGGAGGGCGAGGAGGTGCGAGGAGGAAATGGAGGGGGATGTAGAGATGGATGGGGGAGGATGAGTCTAAGGTCGACGAAGAGGTGGATGAGAAGGAACTGGGGGAGGAGGCGGAGGAGGAGGACGACGACGAGATCAACGAGTGGAAATGGGGGGAAGACTTGTAAGGACGAGGACGGGGAAGCGAATGAAGACGACGAGGTTGAGGAGGAAAAGATGCGCACGAGGACTGTCCATAAGGTGTGGCACACGGGCGCGGAGGAGTCCGACAGCGAAGATGAGGGCAAGGATGGGGGCAGGAAAAGGACGACGGCACTGAGGCAGCAGGTGCACGAGGCGGGAAGAGCGAGCCGGTGCCTGGGAGCGGGACCTGTGGGTCCACCGCCGCTCCCCCGTTGCGCCTCTCCTTCTCCCGCCCCCCCCCTCTGTTCATGGTCGTCCCCCCCCCCTGATCCGCTCTCGGCGGTTTGGCCAGGAAGGAGTGAACTTCTCAATGACGGAGGGATTCATTCGGCGGTATCACGTTTGCTCGTGTTCCACAAGCTTCTTGGCGGGCTCCACGGGTGGGCCTCTTGTCCCTCTTAGCCACGCTGCTTCGTGTTCAGGGGGTGGTTCTTTTAAAGTCACTATTGTGATGGCGGAAATCCTGGAAATCCCACCCCCCCGCCCCCTCGTCGCTCTTCTTGTCGCTCCCTTTCCAGAGGTCTTCCGCCTCCTATCATCCCCATTTCCCCCCTTTGGATCCCCCTTACCCTCCTCTCCCCCCGTTCATCCTCCGTCTTGTGTTCCCCTTCTCTCCAGCCACTCTTACCCATAAAAACAATGGGTCACGGTAAGAAGCATAAGCTGAGCTTGCTGGGGGTCTGGTTGGAATCGGCCTTAGGGTTGGCCGGATTAGCTCTTCGACCGGAAGTTAATTCCACGTCGTGAAGTCAGTTGAATGCAGAGAGTTGCGTTTCGGTTCCACGTGTGGCTCTCGCCGCATGCGGTCCGCTTCGTTTTTCTAATCCAGGCTTTCGGAGAGAGCCTATTCACAGGGGGCCATTCCCAAGGTTGGATGGGTGTCGCTCAACGTAACTTGCCCCCCGGCACGACAGCTCGGTCGAATTGGCGCGTCAGTCGAATGGCCGTTGCGGGGTGCGTGCGCATTGCCGTCGGTGGCTGGCCAACCGCACCACGGTCGGCGCAGAATCGCCCCAACCAGGGCAGTCTGTAGCAGTTTCCATTGCGTTTATTATCAGGTGTGACTCAAGGTGCGCTATCGTGGACCCCCTCAAGCGGGTTCCTGCAGGCTCGGGTGACGCGTGGGGGCGCGGGCCTTCTGAAGTCCAAGAAATTGGGCGAACTTCTTGTATAATAGAAATCGGTTTGACGAGCTGTATCTTGAAACCCTTGCGATGACGAGCGCGTTGTGCGGCGGTCCGCGCATGTATCCCGCGTGGTGTGATAGGGATCTGGGTACTGGGCGCATGATGGATCAACGCGGATGCGTCGCGCGGTTAGATGAAGATGCCGGCGCGCGCGGTGCTATTTGATTGGGTGTTGGGGGGGGGGGGGGGGCGGCGCTCTCTGGGATGGCATGCGCTCGTGCGCAACATGGGGGATGGGGCAGGATCGCGCGACCGATATGTTGTGAGTGGTTGGGTCGGTTCTCTATGTAGAAGGGTGCATTCAGCATAGGGAATGCGATGTCGCCCACTCCAGTGCTCGCGCACATTCCCCACCCTCGCACCCGCCTGCCAGGCAAAACCTATGCGGCCAAGAGGCCAAGCTTGCGGTTATTGGTTGGCACGCGCTGGCGCATCGCTACGGCCGCGTTGGCGCGCATGCGCTAGCGCGCAGGTCGACAGGTTGGTTCCGCAGAATTAATTGGTGCGGCCGCGAACGCGCCGACCGGTTGGGGACTTCCCACCGCGTCTCGAAGGCCGCCCTGGCGCGCGGTCTGTTCACCCCCTGGGGGTCGGTGACCCGGGCTCTCATGATTTCGTCGACAAAGGCGGCGCATGGGCCACGATGGTGATAACAGCGATGGCTGTGGCGATGAAGGCGATGCCGAGGGCAAGGCCAGCGACGGCGCCGATAGTGTCTGGCGACAATGCCTTCGACGATGCCCACATGTCGGCGATGGGGGCGATTGTGTTTACATCGGCGGCAATGGCGGCGATTGACGATGATGGCAGCAGGGGTTGCGCGATGGCGCTGGCGACGGCGACGGGGAAATGCGCGCGCCGAAAAATCCAGATATCTGGAAAACCTGCTATTGAAATTCTAGCGTGCCCTATTCGTTTGCGAAAAGCTCTGTCTGGGAATGCATCAAACCAATCGGCCTGGGAGGATTTCGACCCGCGCGCGTGGCAGCGCGCGCGTGGCCCATGTCGCACGCGTTCCCAACCATCCCGTGGCGTTGGCCCCTCGTTTTGAAGAGGCAGCCCCCGCGTCGCCCCCCGCCCTTCCGCCCTCATCGGCATGCGTCTCCTGCCCGGCGCAGCGCTTCGTGACCCCGTGGGGGGCCCGCCGAAGGCCTCTGCGGTTGAGCTCGCGCGCGGGCCCCCCGCCCACGACGCCGCGCTGAGTGGCCCCGTAGGGGTCTCAACCGAAGGCGCCAGCGTCGGCGCCCCCATGCGCTCCCCCCGTCCAGCATAGCGCTTCGTGGCCCCATGAGGAGCTCCACCGAAGGCCCCAGTGGCGGCGCTCGCGCGCCCCCACCCAGCACAGCGATCCCATGGGGTCTTTTTTTTTTTTTTTTTTTTTTTTTCCCATAGGGAGCTCCACCGAGAGCCCCCAGTGGATGAGTTCGCATGCTGGCCCAACACCCAGCGCCGCAGCGCGCGCCTTCCGTCACCATAGGAGTGCCACCGAAAAGCCCCAGTGGCGGATCTCGCATGCATCCCCCTCCCCCCCCCCCCCCCCCCCCCCCCCCCCCCCCCCCCCCCCCCCCCCCAACCCACACACAACACCCCACACACAACACAACACACACAACCACCCACAACACACCACACACACACACACAACACACAAACACACACACACACACACAAACACACACACACCCACACACACACACACACACACAAACACACACACACACACACACAACACACACACAAACAACACCACACGCACACCCAGCAAAGCGCTTCCGCGGCTTCCCATAGGGCGCCTCCATCGGAGGCCACAGGGGCAGAGGCGGCGTTTCGCATGCGCCACCATCCCCCCCCCCCCCCCCCCCCCCCGCCCAGCACGGCGACTCATGGCCCCATAGGGAGCCCCACCGAAGGTGCCAGTGGCTGAGCTCACATGCGCCCCGCCCCCACCCAGCACAGCGCTTCGTGGCCCCATAGGCTATAGGGGGCCCACCGAAAGCCCCGGCGGCTGAGCTCGCACGCGGGCCCCCCGCCCACGACGCCGCGCTGCGTGGCCCCATAGGGAGCTCAGCCAAAAGGCCCAGTGGCTGATATCGCATGCGCTTCCCCTGCCCAGCACAGCGATTCGTGCTGAGCTCGCGCGCGTTTCCCCCGCGCAGCACAGCACTTCGTGGCCTCGGTGTGAGCTCCACCGATGGCGCCAGTGGCGGCGTTCGCATGCGGTTCCCCCACCCAGCGCAGCATTGCGTTGTCTATATGGAGCCCCGCCGAAAGCCCCAGTGGCCGCCCTGCCCCATTGCGGCGCGCCCCATTGCGCGTTTCGCGGCCCCGTAGTGGTTTCCCCCTGAAGCGCCAGTGGCAGCGCCCACATGGCGGCCCCGCCCCACATCGGCACAACCTTTGCATGCTTCATGGCCCCGCGAAGATGCCCCCGAAGGCGACGCCCGCGACGACGGCGCTCGCAATTGCATTTGGTTGGGTCCGTCGCCCGGAAATTTGTTATATAGGTTCGCCCGTTGGACGCAAGCTCAATCGACGCGGATGAACCGCGCGGTCGGATGAGAATGCGGGATCTGGGCGAGTGCTAAAACCACATGTTGTCCAATGATTGCAGCAAGTGCGCTCGAGCAGAAAATTTGCATGAGCAGTGAATTGCGAAATTGATATGTTTGGCATGAGTGTGACACGTGCGCGCGTAGTGAAGTTGCTCCATTGTTGGCGAGGGGTTCTTGAACCATGTTGACGGGAGAAACGAACGCGCGCACGTTCACAGAAGTGACGAGGGGTCGACACCATGCTTCCACATACGCGACGTTTTCATAGGGAGAATGCAACATCGGGTGACACCAGGTGCAACGCGCAGTGCCCGCAGTGGGGATTCGCCTGGGTGCGGGGTGGCAATTGCCAGCTAGTGTGTGCAACATGTGTTGTGCCATATACAGGGAGCAGTGCACTTTCCGAACGTGAAGTTGCCAACCCCACTGCTCGCGCAATCATCCCACCCACCCACCCACCCGCGGGAGCGATTGCGATGAGTGCTGGGCGTTGGCTAGTGTATCCCACCGGCCAGCTAATTTGGCGCGACCGACACCGACGCGGTGGCGACAACGGTAGAAACGATGATGATAGTAACGATGCTGGTGACGATGTTGACAGCGACGACGGGGCAGCTAGCGACGGCGCCGATGCTGATCACGCCGACGACGATGACGGCGTCTTCGCGTCGGTGATGCCGGTTCTGGAAGGTATTCGAAATGCGTTCGCGGCAGACGATCGAGAGTGGCCCGCATGGTATTATTTGACACGGATCAGCACGCGCGCAAGGGCGTTCGAACGATTTCGACATGCGAGCGCGCGAAGTCATTTTGGTAGCATTTTCTGGAAATGTTGAAAAAACGTATGGTTTTCTTGAAGATCTCAATAGCGCGCGCGCTTTTGTTGAACATCCATGTTGCGAAACCATGTTTTCTTGTTCTTTGGACGCTCGATTTTGAAATCCTTCTGGAACCGAATGTTTTCGAAGGATGGCGCGCGCGACGACGCGCGCGTGTGCACTTCGTGTCATTTGTTGCGATGGATTTCTGAAATTTCTGATTTTTGATAAACGAGTGCGCGCGCATAGTACAAGGGAACCGAGGGTGTGCCGATGCCGGCCTGGCTGGGATTATATGAACTCACAGGTCGGATGGACATGTGGGTCAGATTCATATGTGTTTTGCATGGATTCCTGGGGAGTCGATAAACCGGGGGGGGGGAGGGTGGTATATTTTTTGGAACGGAGAATCTAAGTGGTGCAAGCTGTTGTGCAGGATATGCTGTGCATTGCATGTGGTGCCGCCTTAGTGCTCCAAACCGCGTGGCGAAGTGCATACCGTGCATATTGTAAAGTGCAAGCTGCCTGTTGCAACCCATTCGGTGCAAGCTGTGCGGTATGATCGGTGTGTGCATCTGGAACGCCAACCAGCGCGCGAGGCGCGAAACATGCACCATCGGCAGTCCATAGCCGCCAGCCATCGCACGAGGCTCAGCCGCCAGCCAGCGCACGGGGCGCCCCCAGGCGCTCACGGGGTGGCAGCAGCCGGAAAAATGGAACCGCCTGTCAGCGCACGGGGCCCGCGAAGTGCCCACGGACGGGCACCGTGCGAAGATGAGGAATCGCGTGCCCGTTGCTTCGAAGTGGAAGCACGGATGAGTAGTGTGCACGGTATGTTTGGGGGCAAATCAAACACGGTGCTGTAGATCGGCGGGGCATGGTTCGACACGCAGAGGAGAAATGATTGACCGTTCTGCGCCAGGAAATTGGGGCGAACCAAATTCTGGCGTGATGGAGTGGTTGCCTCGCACAAAATTAGGCATGCGGGTCGGAAGCTGTTCATCCAAGCCCGTCGTGTTGCTTGACAATGTGGATGCGGTAGTGTTGTAGCATGCCCGTGAGACGTGAGGTGGTTGCAGCATGTGTATGCGCCAAGGTAGTGGAGTATTACAGCGAGACCCACAAGGAGCCGCGCCGTTGATTTGTACATTACTGGTTGTGCGCGCTGGAACTTGGAGACCGCATTCCGTTGCAAGGTGGACGCCTGTCGTACGTGCATATTTTCCATGTGTGATCGCAGAAGAGACTGGTTTGTTCACACTGGGTGCGAGACCACACAGCCGTCAAGTGGTGTCAGGGATTTGTGTAGAAGCTGGTTCGGTGCGGGAAGACGCAGCAAGGGCACTTAGTTCCGTGTCCGCTTCCTCTTTGTTTTTTATGTTCAATTCCCTTGTTCCTTCTCCCTAATTTACGTTGGTGTCATCCGTATAGCATGCATCGTGCAGTTGCGCGTTATTCATCTTACCGCTTACCAGCACCATTCTTCAGGGTGGCGCTTGTATGTAGTAAGTTCAAGGAGTGCTGTTGAAATCTGGAGCTGGAGCGACGGGCAAAGTACCCCTCCCCCCCCTGGATTTCCCCCCTCCTCTCCCCCTGCCCTCCCTTCAAGCTCCTTCCCGTTCCCTGCCCCCTCCCTTCTGAGTCTGTTCCACGGCGCTCGGATTCTGGAGGAGGCGGGTCCTCTCAGTCTTCACGGCAGGAGAGCTCTTCTCCGCCTCCCTCCGCCGATTCTCAGCCTCCGGGGCCTCTGCCTCGGCACGCTCCTCACGCCGGTCCGATGCTGCCTCCAGGGCTGGACCTGAGCGGTGTTTTTCTTCGGCTTCGACTCGACTCGTTGCGCTTCAACTTCGTTTTGGCTCGTTGTCGCCTCGTGGGCCGTTTTCGCTTCGGCTTCGTTCTGCGGCAGAGGCGGATCCGAGGCAGAAGCGAGGGAAAGCGAAGACGACACGAAGGAGGAGGAGGAGGAGGAGGAGGAGGAGGAGGAGGAGGAGGAGGAGGGGGAGGAGGGGGAGGAGGAAGAGGAGGAGGAGGAGGGAGGAGGAGGAGGAGGAGAGCGAAAGGCACCGTTTGGGTTCCGCCCTGGCTGCCCCTCGCGAAGGCCAGGCGCGGCAGTGCAGCGGCCCGCTGCGGCAGGCTCGCGGCGCGTCGGCGTGGCGGCGGCCCGCCGCGGGCGCTGAGTGTGTTTCGCCGCCAGGGTCGAGCCGGGCCTGTCCCTCTACAGGGGGACTCTTCCAAAATAGTCAACAACAAATATAGTCTGGGGACTATGTTTTGACCATGATTGAGCATTTGTGGTGTATGTTCGGGATATGTTTTTTTTTTTTTAGTTTTTCGCCGCCAGGGTCGAGCCGGGCCTGTCCCTCTACAGGGGGACTCTTCCAAAATAGTCAACAGACACATTCTGGGGACTATCTTTTGACCATGTTTGAGCATTTGTAGTGTATTTGTGGGGTATGTCCTTTAAGTTTTCGTTCAAAATCGGCCTGTAGGGAGACAGGCCCGACTCAACGCCAGGGGCCCAGAGTCGACCAACGTGGAACGAGCTGGCGATCGAGAAGCCGCCGACTGCACAATGATTGAACGATCCACGCGGTGTCAGAGACCGGCACCGGGGTCGTCACGACGCGAAGTTGCCATACCCCCCTGGACGTTTCGCGTGCGTGTCCGGGAGGAGTGGCTGCCCGCCTCGATCACCAACGTGGACGCCGAAGGTGGGAGCGCGGGCATTGCAGCAACTCGGCCAGGATCCATGGTGTGTCCGATTTGCGGGGGATTTTTGCCTGCTTGGCATGCTCTGCGTTCTCCCCTCACGCCCAGTCCCGATCGTCAGATTTCCTCGTCGGTCGTCTCTCACGACTTGTGCCTCTGCAGACTTAACATGTGTGCAGGGCGACCATGCCGTTCTGGATTGAGCCAGCAAGTGACCATGAAGAAAGGCGTCATGGTCCAGTAACAAGGGCACTGGTCCTCGACAGTGATCCTGCCATCCTCACGCATGCCTTTGCATGTTGCTGCTATTCTCATTGCGCCACATGGTCAAACTCTGCTTCAGGTTCATGAGATCGTAGACGGTGTTTGCACTGCGTGGAGGGCAGCAAGTGGTAGGTACAGTAGGTTGCGTCGTGTCGACCGGCGGCGACCCCGCCACTGGCGTTCAACGTTGAACGCCGCTGGCGACTCAGAATCGGTCGATGTTGAGCAATTTGACGTTTCGGAAAGGGCCGATCGCTCAAGGTTGAGCGATCCTCGCTGTGTCAGAAACGCACGCCGAAGTCGGCACGACACGAGCCTGCCGTGAAAGGATCTGGGAAGCACGTGGCGGGGTTCAGCCTGAGGGTCTGGGTCGGGGTCGGGGCAGCCAGCTGCGCCTGCTGGCGCCAGCTGTGCTCGGCAGCGTCCGGTGACGCTGCCGCGCACATCTGCCACCTCGCTGTGAGGGCTGGCGGATGTGTAAGGGGGGGCCAGAGCCCCCTCGATTCGCAGCGTCGCTTAGCGTAATGCTGCCGTCTCCCCCCCCCCCGGTGCGTCCCCGGCACTGCCGCAGTGCGTCCAGCAGCCGTTTGTCACGGTGGGTGGCGGGGATTTTGCGTTATGACCCCCCCCTTTCCCTCCTCCCCAACCCCATTTTCATCGCAGCAAATATGCGAAGGCTTTCCTGTTTGGGGCGAAGAGCAGGAGGCCAGGACAGTCCACACCACCGGCACAGATGCGGGCGGAGGGACGGGCACAAGGAGGAGCGGGGCCATTTGCATAACGATGGCGGCAGTCGTTGTCGACTGGGTAGCGGCACGGGGGGCGCGGTGCGTTGCGGGCAGGTTTTCAGACTTTGCGCTCTGGGATGCGTCGATGCGATGTCCCAGGAAGCCTGGGTTCCTCTTGGTCATTCACAGAGTGTGTCTATTCCTTGTCCTCGAGTTGCTGCTGCACGTGAAACGGCCGCAGGCCAGCCTCCACGCTTCCAGTGCGCCTTTCACAACCAGAGCCCTCGGTGTTGCACTGATGTTGCGTTTGTATACGCGCCCAAGCGTGACGAGGAGGCCTGGAGACTATCTTGAGTTGTCGAGGTGCACGTCGAGATACCAGTTCCATTTTGAGGCGGGGTTCATCCATGACTACTCTTCGGGCATCGATATTCAGGGACCTCCGCAGGCAGTGGATATGGATATATCCGGGGGCCCTGGTGCCAATATCCATCGCCACCACCCGTCGAGGTCCAAGATGTCGGTTCCCCAGGCGGTGGTCGTGGATATCTGCGCCGCGCATCCATTTTTGAGTGTGTGTCGCGTGTGTAATGCTTCCGTCCATCAACTGGTGGGGCCCGAAGCACCGAAGGCCGCATAATGCTGAACGTGAAGCCCAACGTTTGGCTGTCGCTGGAGCGCGTGCCTTCGGTGTACGCCAGACGTTCGCATTAGCCAATGGATGTTGCGATGCCATATCTTATTGTGATGTTTTGTTGTGTGATTGCGTTCGATGCATGTGTGTGCGATGTTTCGGGCATCGTTGACCAGTTATTTTTTTGTTGCACGTGATCTGCTTCATGCTTCTCTCGAGCAGTCTCAATACGTTTGCCGCCGGGCTTAGAAGGATACAACACAAGGTGAGGAGGGATATGGGTAGAGGGGTGGGAGCAGCCTGGGCATTGGTTGGATGTGTGCCAAGACATGTGATGTCGTGATGTTTTCATACTGGGCCCCCAGAAGTCCTGACCGTTCCCCAGGGCCAGTGTTTCATCGCGACTCGTGTCTTCAAGATCTTGGGGCTTGGCGAGGGCCCCTAGAGGACGGGACCAGCTACAAGTTGTCCGTCTTGTTTTCTTTCAGCGACGCCAGCATGTCTGGGTGTTGACAAGTTGCTCGGCCAGCCGACTGCTGTCGGGGTGTTGTTACAGACTTCCCCTCCGCGCCTGCGTGCCCAGAGGACGTCCAGGGCTCGAAGGTGCGGCCCAAGCAGGGCGCCGACCAGGGCCAGCCGCAGGCCATCCCGTCCGCACCCTTCACGGGTCTCTTTTACCACCTGCTCCACCTCCGCTCCTTTCCTCGTTCCAGCCTCGGCTCCGTCGTCGTCGTCGTCGTCGTCGTCGTCGTCCCGCCTGCCTTTTCCGCACCCCTCGTCTACCTGTCCTCATCCCCCGTCTCCCACTCCTCCCTTCAGTCCTCTCTCCCCTTCTCCTCATATCCCCTCCTCGTCCTCGTTCTCACTACGCCGACGTCGGCGTTTTTCAAAGGGTCTCGATGCATACGCCACGTCGTTTGGCCGGCCAGGGAGCTAAGGACTTCAACGGGCGAATTCGGTGTATCGGCGCCCCAGCGTCCCGCAGGGTGGGCAGCCAGGGCATCTACACAACCAGCTTCTTGGCCAACCGAACGACGTGGTGAACTGGTCGAACCCCTCCAAGGTGTCGCTGCGTGCGCCAGGGTGGATGCCAGGAGAACGTCCACGACCATGGCCGTGCCCCGGGCCAGGTGCGGGGCACTCTTCTGCCGGGAGGTCGGGCTTGTGACGCCCGATGGTCGGCAGGGCGCACGCGAAGCTCGCGCTCGCCAGGGAAAACATCTGGACCCAGTTGGAGCAGACGAGGGGTCGACCTCATCTTCCTCCTCTTCGCCCATGCTTCCTCCCCCCTCCCCCTCTCTACCTCATGTTCCTGCCTCCTCCTCCTCCTCCCCCCCTCCTCATACAGCAACAGCTCTTGACGCTTCGCGTATCCCCACCAGTTACCACGCCCTCTGGACTTTTCCTTGCGGGCCGCAGAACAAAAAAGTATCCCCACCAGCCTCTGTGCCCCAGTTAGCCTGATTGACACGCCCTCTGGACTCTTCCTTGCGGGCCGCAGATCAAAAAAAGTATCCCCACCAGCCGTCGCTCAGTAGCTAATTAGGCTGGCCCGTGCCCCGGACCCCCTCTCGCCGCCTGCCTTCGCTTGCGGCCGCGACCAACAAAAAAGTATCCCCACCAGCTTTTTGTCGCCTGCGCGCGCGCTAGGCAATCAGTTCTGCTCGTAGCCCGAGCCGGCCTGTGACCCGCTGGCGCCTTCGCCTGCGGCTGCGACAAAAAAATATCCCCACCAGCCCAGCCAAAGCCGACGCCCAGGCCAGTTGAGACGATAATGGAAGCGTGGGAGCAGAATGGGGGACAGTCGCTCTCGTTCGAGAGTGGAGGAGAAGAAGAAGATGAAGAAGAAGAAGGTGGAGGAAGAGGACGACGAGAGAGAGGAGGAAGGCGAGCAGGAGGATTGGATGCAGGGGAGGAGGAGGAGGAGGAAGAGGAGGAGGAGGAGGAGGAGGGGTAAGCGGATGAGGAGGCGGAGAAGGAGGAAGAACAAGAGGGGAGGAGGAGGAGGAGGAGGAGGAGGGAGGAGGAAGGAGGAGAGAGGAGGAGGAAGAGGAGGAGGAGGAGGAGGAGGGGTAAGCGGATGAGGAGGCGGAGAAGGAGGAAGAACAAGAGGGGGAGGAGGAGGAGGAGGAGGAGGAGGAGGAGGAGGAGGAGGAGGAGTAGGAAGAGGAGGAGGAGGAGGAAGGACGAGCAGAAGAGCCAGAAGCCTTTTTGAATGTCTCCTGCAGTCTCCTCGGATGTCGTGATGCGTTGAGGGAGCATCTTGGCGGGCCCAGGGCCGTCTTTGAGCGTCTCGTGTGCCTCGGTGCTCCTCTTGAGTCCCTTCGGGGGTCTCTTGGAAGCCCCTTGGAGGTTCTTCTGGGCGCCTCTTGGAGCCCTCTTTGGGCTCCTCTTCGTGCCTTCGTTGAGCGCTCTTGGGGGCTTTACGGGCGCTTTTGAAGCCATCTCGTACGACATCGGTCAGTTTTCGTGGCGAAGGACCCAACCATACGGAAACAGTTGTTAGCACCGTCGTTGCGGGTATCGCTTTCGGGAGATCTCCCCATGGGGGGGCCATGCGCATGCGAAGGGTGTGCCGACCTGGGGCGGGGCCGCCAGGCGGGCACTGTCGCTGAGGCTCTACGGTAGGTTTGCGTCGTGTCGACCAGCGGCGACCCCAGCGCGGGCGTTCAAGGTTGAACGCCGCCGGCGACCCAGAATCGATCGATGTTGAACGATCGGACGTTGCGGCAGCGGCCGATCGTTCAAGGTTGAATGATCCCTGCGGTGTCAAAAACCAACGCTGGGGTCGGCACGACACGAACCTGCCGTACGGGGCAACGAGGCGCTGTTCTGGGCGAGGGCGACGCACGCGAACATCGCCACTGGGGCCTTCGGTGGAGCTCCCATGGGGCCACGCAGAGCTTACTGGGCGGGGGATGCGTGTGGACACCGCCATCGGGGCCTTCGGTTGGGCTCCCCACGGGGCCACGAAAAATTGTACTGGGCGGGGGAGGCGCATACGAACGCCGCCACCGGGGCCTTCGGTGGAGCGCTGTAATGGGTGGGGGACACGCACGCGAACACTGCTGGTGGGGCTTTCAATGGAGCTCCCTATGGGGCTCCGACGCGCTGTGCTGGGTGGGGGAGGCTCATGCGAGCACCGCCGCTGTAGCTTTCGGTGGAGCTCCCTATGGGGCCACGAATCTTTGTATGTATTGATTGGGGGAGACGCGTGCGAACATCGCCATCGGGGCTTTCGGAGGAGCTCCCTTTGGGGCCGCGCAGCGCTGTACTGAGTGGGGGGAACGCATGCGAACACCGCCTTTGGGGCCTCGGGTGGGGCTGTCTATGGGACCGCGAAACGCCTACTGGGCGGGGGAGGCGTATGCGAAAACCGCCACCGGGGCCTTCGGTTGAACTTGCCATTGGGTAGTGAAAAGCTGTAGTGGGCTGGGGAGTCGCATGCGAACACCGCCACTGGGGCCCTCGGTGGAGCTCTCCATGGGGCAACGAAGCGCTGTATTGAGTGGGGGAGACGCAACACCGCCACTGGGGCCTTGAGGGTTCACCTCGGTGCCTCCGATTCGATTCGATTCGATTGCGATGGCCTCCAATTCCGATTCGACTTCGAATTCAGATTTGGACTCCGATTCTTCAATGGAGGCCTACTAGCCTGCCGACGTCTGCTGATTGGACTTTTCCCGACTCGGCTGCCGATTTCCAGCGATCCGATTCGCGTCGATAGCCGGTCCGATTTGTCGATTCGATCTGGGGCTCTCCTGTGCCTTCGGTGGATGTCTGTTTGGCGCCACGAAGCTCTGCGTTGGGTGGTGGGGCGCGTGCACACACCGCGCGGTTGGTTCGCTTTCGCTCCGTCGGTGGCCCCTCGTGAATCCCACCTTGCGGGGCTCTGTAAGCAGGCGCTTCGCAGGCATCCGCTCCAGCTGACAACGGACCATGGCTCGCAACGGTTCTTGTCTTGTCTCCCCCGCCTCCCTTGTGCGCCGCTGTCGCGGCTCTCAAAGGCTCTCGAGCCACCCGGCGCGCGGGCGACGGGCGCGCCCTGGCCCCCCGGTGGAAGGAAAGAGAACATGCTCTCCCACAACACGGGTCACCTCTACTCGTATGTCGCGCCCCTCCGTGCCCCATGCGGGTAACCCCCCTTGCACTCCACAGTGGCAGCGGAGCCGGCGGTTGCCATCCACGAGGGGTTCGGGCCGACTCCCCTGCCGCTCGACCTTTCGGGTGACATGTTCCATCTGTTTCTCCCGTTCTCCCCGCTCCCCGCGAGAGCCTCGGGTCGCCAGCGACTCGTCGGTCGCCCGCTCCTCGCGACCCGAACGGATCGATCGTCCGACGTCGCGACCTCGAGCGGATCGGACCATACGGTTTCCGCGAGGCGTCTCGGCCGAGGAGCGGGCGGCGGCACCCCTCGGCCGCGCCCCGCCGTGGCCCCCCCCCCGCCCCCCCGGCAGCGGCAGGCCGCAGCTCCCGGCGCGAGGCACGCCTCGAACACGCCAGGAGGATCGCTTGGGTCGGGTCGGGCGAAAGGGGGGGATTGGGAAAGGGGGGGGTACGAAATTTGCTGCATGCAGCTGGTTTCGGCCTCACCGAGGAGCCCATTCCTCGATACATAGCCGCCTCCGGCGCCGGGAGGCGCCGGGAAAATCAGCTACGTGAGCTGATTCTCAAACCCCCCCTTTGCTATCCCCCCCTTTCGCCCGACCCGATTGGGGTCGGGGGCGACGCCAGCCTTCAGTCGGGCGTTTCCCTTCACAGCAGGGGGAAGATTCAAAAATTGTGAAAAGATGCCCTGGGGACTGTTTGTCAAGCGTGTTTTTATTTGTTTTTGCCGAGTTTGCCTTTTTCATCCAACAGCATTGGCCTCTCGGGGGGCACGCCCGACCTAACGCTAGCCGGTATCGTTGGACCTATCCCCATTCCCACCGGGCCATGGCTTCTCAGCACCGCCATCCCACCACCCCAGTTGGAGATAGGACCCTCGAAACCCGAGCAGGAAAAGCCTATATCCCCTATCTATGGGTGTGAATCGGCCAGTGTGCCTAGGCCACGCCAGTGGGAATAGGGGTCGGCGAACGATGCATATTCAGAGGGGGGGTGGCTAGAGGCTATGAGGGGGAGGGGGAGGAGGAGGAGGTGAGGAGGAGAAGGATGAAGTGTTTGTAGTTTTTCGTTGGTTCTTGAACGTTTTCTGGCCTCGGGAAGCTTTACAGCAGCTGCGCCTCGCCGAGCGTCCCAGGGGTGCCCATATCGCCCCGAACCGCCGCCAGAGACTCGAGCTATGACACGAACGTTTGGTGGCAACGAAAGGGGGGGGATGGGTTCAGGGGGGGGATGCACCGACCGTGAAGTCGGGAGTGTCCCTCTACAGGAGGGAAATTCCAGAATGGTGAAAAATAGCCGGGGGACGATGTTTCTTCCATTTTTGAATACTTGGGAATATGTTTGAACTATTTTTTTATTTTTCGCCCAAAATCCGCCGGTAGGGGGACATGCCCCACCCAAACCGACCCCCAATCACCCACAGATCGCCGATAAGGGGCCCGATGGCCCCACTCACGCCGCCCATGCGTGTGCTGTTTCGCTATCGCGGGCCCAGCGCCGAGCTATCGGCGGTGCGTCGCCGCTTCCCGGTCGACGTTTCCCCCTCGAGTCAGTGCCCCCCCTCGTTCTCGTCCGTGCTCCCTCCCTCGATCGTCTCCTGTTGGTCAAGGTGGGGTTCCTCTGAGAACCTCGGTCGACGCGACCGAGTCTCGATGATCGTTGTCACTCGCCCGCTGCCGCTGTTGGGGGAGAGAGGCGCACACTTTTCTTTGGGCCCAAGCGCAGGCGCTGAAGGCAGGCATGTCAGCAGTGAAACTGGGGAAAACGGGTTTTCACCCCCCGCATTCACACTCATATTATTTTCTCTGGCTAAGCGTGTCTGCGAGCCGACGCTGGCTCAGCTCAACAATACACAAGGTATGTGTAAAGATATGGAGACGCCGCTCACTATGTCCTCAGCGACTGGGTTGCTGTGCTGGTCTGCCCTTTCGAGAAACGTCCGGGCGTTGGTGCTGTCGAACGGCTCCAGAGCTCCCGCTTCTGCCTCTCTAGGCGGATAGCCTTCGCCTCAACGCGGAACTCCTTCTCCTCGGACCACCACACCGCGTCCCGGTCCAAGAGCAGCGCGTCGCAGAGGCGGCAACGCACTTTCTCATTGTATTGGTTTGTGCCAGTCGTCGTCAGCTGGTCCGCTGGATGTATACACTTGTCTGGATCAAAGCCGCACGCACTCTGGGACTTGCCTTTTCCCTTCTCGTTGCCCTTGCCCTTCGGGACCTCCTGCGTGACGTGGCTCGCTCGACGGCACTTGCTGCGCCCCGCAACCACCAGCTGGTACGCCTCGAGGATATCGTCCTCCAGCACGTCACCAAGGTCGTGCTCCACCTTCTTGTAGGATGCATGCTTCAAGCGCTCATGCAGCGTGCGAGCCTTGTCCAGGGGCAACCGTGTCGCCTTCTTCTTAGATGTCGGTCTTCCTGACTGCTCGGGCCCACCCGGCACTTCGACCCATTCGCCGTTGTCGTCGGGGACGGGGATGTTGTGATTCGCCTTCTTGCGAGTCCTCGGCTGGCACTCGCACTGGTCCACGACCATTCGGCGCACCGCGCACACCACCAGCGTTGCACCGGCGCCGGCGGCGCCTGCTCCGATCTCCTCGGTCTCTGCACTTGTGGCGCCCATTATGTAGATTTTTGTTACGTCGTCCAGGTCTGCAGTGCAGTCTGGATCCGCATTTTCGCCCAACTCCGCAAGCACACCCTCCTCCAACATGACATTCACGCCCTCATGGCGCTCAATGTCCTCAGTCACGTCTGGTTTCTTCAGGTGGTGCTTTTCCGTGAAGTCCTTCTCTTAGCGCTCGAGAGTTTCCTTGGTCGGTGCGTAGTTTGTCAGCAGTTTCCGCGCGTGTGTCGGAATCCTCCGACGCTTCGCCACCTGGTCCAGGCCAGGCCAGTCAACCATGTCGTCGAGCTTCTCGCAGTAGATGTCGTCCTCGTGCTGACCCAGCATCATCCGCCAACGGAGATGATGTTTAGGAGCAGGTCGAGCCACGCGCGCATTGCACCTCAGGTCTGCGATGCAGTCCTCGAAGTACGTGTACCCTTCTCGCACGAACGGTTGATCAGCAGGCCGGCGGCGACGAGTGTATTTCGAGCGATCGCACTCGCCGTTGCGATCTTTCTCTTCCGTCGGTTGCCTAGAAATCATCTGCTCCTCCAAGGGGTCCTCCGTCAAGCGGCACTCGCCCGTCCGGAGCACGTATCTCATGTAGTCACCAGCGCGGACGTCTTGTTTAGTAGGGCAGTCGGCGAGCATCTGCATAGTGTTCACCCACGTGCTTTCCACGCTGTTGAACTCAATGTCGTTCCCGAGCGACTCTATGTCGATTAGCAGCCGCTTCTCGGACGGGACCGCCCTTCGCTTCTGAAGCAGGTCGTAGAGCGATTTGCAGTCCGTGGCCTCTGCCATCTTGATCTCCTCGACGTTGTCCACGTGGGTCCCGTCGCCCAGCCCGTGGTGCAACTCCACCAGGTGTTGCCTCAGCATGTCGCCGCTCTCGACCGCCTCCAGAGCTGCCGTCGTCTCGGCCGCCAGGGTGCTTCGGACCACCCGCTTGATGCGGTGTGATCGCCACAGCATAAGGGGTGACCTTGGCAGGCCTCCCAAGTATGAACTGGTCATCAGCTTTGTCGGAAAGCAAGATGATCAGGCCCGCCTGGCTGGACGTCTTCGTTCTTGGCCACGTTGCCGGTCCGCGTCAAGCGTCTGGGAAAGTGATGTTCACGTGGTCGGTCTTGGCGTCGCCCATGAGCTTGTTGTAGTCCAGGAGGTCTTGCATCTCCAGGTCGCCGTCGCGAGCCCTCGCCTGGCCCTCCGCCGGCCCGAACGCCAGGTCCATCCGCGCAGCACGGGCCAGCCATTGGATCTGACCGTTGCCGCTGTGGAGCATCGCCCTTTCCTCCGCCGTGGCCTTTGCCCCTTTGGTCTTCCGGCGCTCGGCCGACGCGCGCGTGCTCTCGATGCCTTCCGTGCACTCGTTTTGGTTGCGTGCGATCGCGCCGTTGTCGTTCTGCTCGAGGGGGCGCCCGCAGCGGTGGAAGCCCACCTTCGCTGCCTGCTACTTGCTACAGCAGTGCACCCTCCTCAGCTTGGCCACTTGGTTCGCGGAGAAGTCGGGCGACCCCGCGACGAGGTCGTCGTCGACGCGGGCCCCGATCAGGCCGATCCGCTCCCCCCCCCCATCGCGGAAGACGAAGAGGGCCGGGCGCAATTTGGACCTCGAAGCCCCGGGAAGCGATTGGATAGCGTCGCGATGCTCCTCGTGCCACAGCAGAGGAGGCGCCTCGCTCCGCCCGCAGATGCCCTCCTTCGCTTTCAAGATGGCCCCTTCCGGAACGAACGGCCGCCCCAGCTCCGGCACCGCAGGCGCGCCGCCTGTGGGGGCGCGAAAGTACACGCGCCTGGAGCTGTCGAGGCACCTCCACCAATGCAGGAATGCCAAGTCGACGTCGCCTTGCTCGAGGCTCCAACCTGGTTGGATGGCATCATCTTGGGTCATCGCCGCCGTGGCCGTGTCCGTGAGCGCCGGCGCGTTCGTCTGCAACTCGCCCGCGAGCAGCTGCTCGTCCTTGTAGCCCAGGGCGATGTTCCGCGACTTCGTCTTCAACGGGTGCTGCTCGCGCGAGAGGTTGCCCCTCGTCGGCTCATTCTTGTCGGCGTGGACTTGCCTCATGGGTGGGACGCCCGCCTTCTCGGCGCCCGCGAGCTCCTCGCTCGGCCACCCCGCAGCGTCGCATTGAATCCACTTCCGCCGCTCCTCCAGGGCGCTCGCCTCGAATGCCGTCTTCCACGCTGGCGGGGTGCTGCGAGGCCCCCGACCTTTCTCGGGGGCGACCTGCTTTTTCGCGGCGTCCGTCCTCCTCGCCAAGAACGCCCCCCTAGAGCGGTTCTTCACGTTGAGGAAGAGAACGTCGTCATCCATCTGGTCTTCTTCGATCCTCGGGAGACGACTCTGCTTGAGAGCCTCGCGACGCACTCGGAGTCGCTGTTGATTTGCCTCGCAGCCGTCGGGGAGAGATCGCTTGTATATACGTCTATCAAGGCCAGTATACGGCGCAGGTTCTGGCCGTCCAGCTTCCCCAGGCTGCGGATGCGAAGCGCGTGGCGCAGCGGCCGCGCCCAGGTCCGTCGCGCGCCCCTGCCCAGCTGCGTCAGGCGCAGGTGGGTCGCCAGCTGCAACGTCTGGCATGCTGCGTCCATCTCCAGGTAAATCTTCAGCCTTGACATCTTGCACGCCGTGTCCATCTCCAGGTAGTGGTAGCGCTTTAGGTAGCGCTCCAGGTTCAGGTGTCTCCTTTTCCTCAGGCTGCTTCTCCCGCTTGAGAGTGGCCTCGAACCTCTTGGGGGGGGGGGCGGTGGAGACTCCTCGGCCCGCGGCGTCTTGGCCGCCGGCATATCGCCCGTGGCGCCCTCGCCGTCCGAGTCGGCGTCGCCCTTCCTGCGGCGCCTGGCAGGCTGGCCGCTGCTCTCGTCATGCCCAGGCCCGCGCTCGCACACGAAGCCCTTCAGGAGGGCAGGCCCTCCGCGCCATTGCGACAGCTGCCTGGCGAGGTCCTCGTTCTCCACCATCTCTGCCTCGCCGCGAGAGGCGTGCCGCGCCTGCTCGGGCGTCGCGAGCGCCGGCACCCCGCGGTAGCTGAGGTGCAACCTCGCGTGGCCTTCAGCCGCCTGCGCGACGGCCAGGTCGCGCCAGCCGTGCTCGCCCAGAAGCCTCCCGACTTCACGTGTTTCACCTGGCGCCAGTAGAACGCCAGCTGGCCCGGCACGAACGGCCCGCGCGGCGGGCGAACTCGACCAACGCCCTCATCGCGGCGTCATCGCTGCCCAGCTCGAAGAAAACCCGGTTCGCCGCTGCGAGAATTTGCTCGGCCTTCCCAGGGCCATTCTCGAAGAGGGCTGCGCTCTGCGCTGCCAGCTGCCTCTGGTCGCCCTCGTCGCCTCGATCAGCGCGGCTGGGGCGTTGGGCGATCGCCCCAACGCGTACTGGTAGAGCGTGAAGCCGTTCCGCCAGATGCGGTTGTTGCACGTGATCATTGCCGCTGAAGTCCACGCAAACGGGTCGTCGCTCCCGGTAGGTTGCACGTCGCTGTTCAGGCGCTGGAAGTGGTCCTTGAAGAAGTCGACGGCCCGGTCCACTCTGCCTTTGAGTTGAGGCGCCTCGGCCGGGACCAGCCCCATCATCGTGTTGTGCTTGTCGCCGATCTCCGCGAACCGCCGCGCGACGTGGCCCTTCGCGGCGCCGCGGCGGAGCACCTTCGGAGGGCAAGCCCACGAGAGCCACCATTGCAAGAAACAGCGAAGACTCCCCGCGCCCGCGATGGGCCGCACTGCTGCAGTAGGAATGGTGACCCTGAAGCTCGACACGCCGTCCAGGATCACCATGACCCGTGTCTTATTTGAGAGGATCTTTTCGGTTTCGTCGAGAAACACGTCCTCGTTGAACTCCGTTGAGAGCTTCAGGTCAGCCGTCCTCGCGGCGTTAGGCCTGCCGAGCTTCCCGCCCGCAACGCAGCCCAGCTTGTCCTCCGCGTCGAGCACCTTCTGCGACACCCCGTAGGACTTCAGGCGTCGCTTCAGCGCGTGGGCCGACGGGTGGCTCAAGTTCAGGTGGGGCTTCCTAAGAGCGCCCCACTAAGCCGTGGCAGTGCCCGAAGGTTTATCTCCAAAACCCTCGCCCTCTCGGTGTAGACCTCGATGTGCTGCACCTGCTTGGCGATCGCACGGCTTGAACGCTTCCGACTGGCCGCCGAAAATATGCACCGTCGCGGGGGGGAGCGTTTGCATTTTCGCCCCCTTCACATAGATCGCGACTATCGCGTCGGCAGGGTACTTGGTGGCCAGCTCGATCGTCGCGAAGCCAGGGTCGTCCGCTTAGGCTTCGGAGAAGTCGGCCAGCACCCCCTTGTCGGTGCGCGTCGCGTAGATGCGCCTCGCAGCTCCGCGAGGCGGTGGGATGGCCTCGCTCCGCCTCGGCATGCGCACGTCAATCAGGTCCTTCCTCAACTTGAACTCATCGGCCACCAGGCGCATGGTCTGCTGGCTCGGGACATTCGCCACGTTCTCCCCGACGCCCAGCTTCTTCAAGTCGGCGCGCCGCGCCAGTTCACGCGTGCCGGCGCTCACCAAGGTCTTGCACAGGTCGTCTGGCCATGCGTTGGCCAGCGAGAGCAGGGTGCCTCGCCCGACCGCGTCTGCGCGCTGGTGGCCCCGGTCGCACGCGCGGTCGAGCCACCAAGAGAAGCACGAGCCGTTGGGCACCAGCATACGCGTGGTCTTCCAGACCAGGGTCCCGCAGTCGTCCGTGGGCCCGAACATACACTGGTGCAGCGTGACCATCTCGCAGAGTGGAGGTCGATCGCCACGTCAGCGCAGCAGGTCCATGATCGTCTCCTCGGCCCACGCACGGCTCGTGAGAGGGTTCGCGCCGATGCCGGTACGTCCGCCTCCAGCCAGGGTCCGATGCACCTTGGCAGAGAAGTCGACCAGCGGCCTGAGCTCCTCGATCCTATTATCCACCAGATCGCCCATGCCCTCAGCACGCTGCAACTCTTGCACGTTCAAAAGGGCGTGCATGGAAACGCGACCGAGACCGTCCAGGGCCCGACGGTCTTTTATCGAGAACAGGAAATCCGATTTTGTCTGGGGATGTTTCAAGTCCGCCCCGACCGATAAATATGAGGGGATAGCGTTCGCATGACCACCTTTCGAGGCTACACGAGTGAAGTTCGCCTCCTTCGCGAACAGCTCCCACGGGAAGGTCTCTTGGTCGTCGCGCAGTACGTCGAAAGTGACCGAATACTCCTTCATCAGTTTGTCGATCCGCTTGAGCGCGCTCTTCTTAAAGATGCCTTTGCTGCCGTTCTTCAGAGCCTCTGCGACACACGAGTCGGCGTGATCCTGCACCTGGAAGCCCGGCTCGAACTCCTGCAGCGTCTCCGCGACCAGGAACGCCTCCGGCTCGGGCCCCATACCGTCTAACCGCGGAAAGAGGGGCTCCAACTCGTACGACTCGAGCTCGTAGTCGAAGATGTCGAGGCCCGCGCGTCCGCCAGGAAGGTTCACCAGCTTGTTGTCGTACACGCCGATCTCCTGCAAGTCCGCCCAATGGCCGTCCTCGCGCACGCAGAGGTTTGTCTTCCACTCTGCCAGGTCCTTCCTGCTCGTCAGGCCGATCATGTCGCCAGGAATCGCGAAGTACTCGTGTAGCACGTGCGTCTTCCCAAAGTCAACTGGGATGATCCACTTCTGCTTTGGCTCGCATCGTGCTCCGCCGAGTTCCTTGGACTTCTTGTTTGCCTCCGTCTTGATGGGCTTGAAGCCGTCCTTCGCGCGCTCGGTCTCGACGCGGTCGAGCCATCCGCGCCTGGCCACCGCGACCGAGGCACCATTGTCCACCAGGGAGGCCGGCACGACGTCGCTCGAGATCATCACCTCGTTTCTTGGCATCTCCGGCGCGATCTGATCGCTGTCCATGTTCACCATCATGGTACCGCACAACTTCTCGGGCCGCGCGTTCGCGCATAGGCGAGGTCCTTGCCCTGCGTCTGGTGCCGGACGTTCGAGCAGGAGGGCGCCGCGCAGACCAGAGCACTCATCGCCCAGACGCCGAGCCGTCGTGGACGATGGGCTGACTTCGACTCCTCGCTGCGGACCTCACCCTTGGCGGGCTTCCCAGGAGAGCCACCGGTCGGACAGTCGGAGGTGTCGTGGTCCATCCGACCGCACTTGCTACGCCGCTTGCCCCTGAATGTGTCACCGTCTTTGCCCTTGCCTATGCCTTTCCAGGAGCTCTCGCCAGCCGCTTGGCCGCCAGCCGCCGCACTCTCGTCCACGACGCAGTCGGTCTTTCCCTTGAAGAATTCCCTCGCCGCCTGGGGCTTGTTCATCTTCAGGCGGCTCTCGCGCATCGTGGCCAGGGTCTGGTGGTATTCGTCATCTTCTTCTGCCAAGAAGGCGTCGGCGTCGTTCTCGATGTAACATGTGGCTGCTGTCCCAGCCTGCGTCCTCGTCTTCATCAGCACGTGCGTAGACGCCGCGCTCATCGCCCCGCTCGCACCAGTGCCCGTCGTCGTCCTGGACCCAGTACTCGCCGTAGTGCGGGCCCTGTTCGCCCGCGTGTCCAGGCTCGCCGTCGCGCGCGCGCGCGCGCGCGCGTCGTCCAGCGCCAGCTCGTCCAAACCGCTGCGTTTCAGAGCGTGGTGCCATAGCTCGTTCGCGCAAATCTTTGCGTCTGGGCCCAACTCCTCTAGGTTCCGCTCCGCCGCCCCCGCAGCCGCGCAAAACGCCACCATCGGTTCCTCGCCCTCGCGCTCGATGTGAGTCTGGGCGAAGAAGGCGTCGAAGGCCTTCGGCAGCTCGCGGAAGCTTCTCTTCGCGAAGCGCTCGGCCTCTAGGAACCTGAGCAGCGCCTCAGCGCCATTCTCGACCGCGCAGTCCTTCGGGTCGGTCTGCTCGATCGAGTTGTCGACGCCGAGGAGGTCGCGGAACAGCTTGGGCCCGAGCGCTACGCGCTGCCCCTTAGACTCGCAGCCCAGGTCGGCCGCCTGCACCGCCCTCTTTGTACCTGGTGATGTCTTTCAAAGTCTCTCCTTGCAGCGCCGGTATCTTCGAATCTGTTGTAGGTGCCCGCGTTCGCCATGGCGTCCGGGATGGCTAATCCGGCAACTTCTCTCCTGGTGTCCGCGGGGCCAACCAACGGCTCCGCTACCAACCTCGTTCTCGTCCGTGCCCCTTCCCTCGATGGTCTCCTGTCGGTCAAGGTGGGGCTCCTTTCAGAACCTCGGTCGACACGACCGAAACTCGATTATCGCTGCCACTCGCCGTGCCGCTGCTGGCGGAGAGAGGCGCACACCTTTTCTTGGGCTCAAGCGCTGGCGCTGTTGGCAGGCATGTCAACAGTGAAACTGGGAAAACGGGTTTTGACCCCACGCATTTACACCCCCCGATCGTTGCCCCTCACAGGGTCAGGCGATCGCAGACATGGATCAAGGGGGCGTGGATTAGCAACGGGTCCTGTTTCCATGGGAGATCGCAGATTTCCGCCGCCGAGCGAGGCGGCACCTGCCGCACTTTGGGAGGGCACCTCCCCCGATCCATGGATTCGACGATCGCGCGCCAAATCCATTAATCGCTAATCTTAAGTCGGGCGTGTCGCTATACAGGAGGATCAATCAGAAATAATCTAAACGTAGTCAGGGGGCGTTCTTCTTGAAACTATTGCTGGTGTAGGTGTGGAGTTCTCTTTACAACAGAATTCATCCAACATCCCCCTGTAGGATGACAGGCCCGACTTGACGCTAATCCGTGCTTGCGCGCCCGAGCGGCGGCCTCTCTCGCGGGCTCGTTTCGCCACCACTTCGGGGTTTCGGGGGGTTCTCGTGCCCAGAGACTCGCGGCCCCGAGAAAGTTGTAGCGGCCCGTTTTTGGCCGGTTCCGGCTTCCGGGGGCCCGCAGCGGGCCCAAACGAAGCACACGATTGGTCCTACAGGGAAGCGGTCCAGAACCCAGGGGGCCCACGGATCGAAAAGATTGGAGCGCCGGGTGTTTGGGCCGTCTCGTTGCAGTTTCGGAGGACTTCGTTTGTATTTGAAAGAATGGCTGTCTTCTTCTGGTGCACGGCGCGTGTTGGACGAAGAGTCGACGCAGACCTGACGCGGATTCGACACGGATTCGACGCGGATTCGACGGGGATCCGGCGCGGAGTCGACAAGTTCGACATTGGCTCGACGCGGATTCGACGCGGATAGCAGCGCGATGGGACAGGCAATGCCCCCCGACGATGCAACAGAAGGCGTGAATGAGGGTGTCGGGACGTTCCCGTGTTTGGGCCCCCTTGCGTGGTGACAAGTCTCGACGGAAGATGTCTGCTCTGTGCTCAGTCTTTGGTGGCCCTCGCTGGACCTCGGGAGCGTCAAATATTCCACCAATTACCAGCCTGGAACATATCCCTATCCCTATGCTGGGCATCTCCTCATCACGATGCCAATCTTAGGGATTCCCTTATTTTTTCAGGGCGCATCCCTAAGATTGTCATCGCCTTTTGGCGTGTCAATCTTAGGGATAGGGATCAGTTCGAGGCTGGTAAACCAGAATGGAAAGCCGGTCCTTGAGAAAGGGCCCTGGCTCGGAGCTCAAGAGACTGGGGTCAATGCAAACCGGGGTCAGCCAGAGCGCCGGATTTTGCAGGATCCTGCAGGGCTAGGGTCGCATTGACCCAGGTTTGGGTGCAGGATCCTGCAGGGTAGGGTCTTGCAGGATCCTTCGCATTGACCCGGGTTTGGGTGCAGGATCTTGCAGGATCTTGCAGGATTCTGCAAGGCCTGATTTACCCAAGTCTGGATTGACCCGGGTCAGAGGATCCCCGAGAGACCTTTTTGGGGGGCCGCGCTTTGAAAAGATCATGACGTCGAGGGTCTGGTACGAGGCCACATGCGAACCCTGCTCCCGAGCGAAATGAACCCCACCCTCTCCCTCAGAAATCGTGTTTTGTAGGGGGTTCAGGCGATCGCAGACATGGATCAAGGGGGCGTGGATTGGCGACGGGTCCCATTTCCGTGGGAGATCACCAGTTCGGCAACCGTCCCCTCGAGGTCCGCCTCGATCTCGCACCCCGTCGACTTGCTGACCTCGATGCACGCGCTGAGGTTGCGGGTAAACCGTGACTTGGGGAGCTTGCCGCGCAGCCTCCACGGCGATCGCTGCGACCTCGGGCACTTCTTTCTCGGTCGTTCCCGTCGACGGTTGGCCGTGCTGCCGATGCGAGGCGGCACCCGCCGCATTTTGGGGAGCTCACCTCCCCCGATCCATGGACTTGGCGACCGCACGCCAAATCCATGGATCGCTAATCCATGTTTGCGCGCCGCCGGCTCCTGGGCCTCCTGGACGCTCCTCGTCGCCACGGCTGGATCCGCCCGGGCGGAACCTGGGACAGGTCCTGGGATGGGTTTTCGGGGGCAGCGATAGGGTGGGGGGATGGGCATAGGGGGGGGGGGATGCATCGATCCTCAATCGCCCAGTGATCGCCGATAGGGACCCGATGGCCCCACCCCGCCACAGGAGGTTGCGGATTCACCATCGGGGGCCTATTGCCGATCTGGCCGCCACAAACTATGCATTGCAACCAGGGCTGACCACGTCCGTCCCTGGCCAGACCTCATCGCAGAGGCCAGGAGGAGGAGGAGGAGGAGCAGAAGGAGGAAGGGAAGAGGCAGAGAGACTTGTCGTATTTTTCTGGCGGGGAATCTAAACTTGTGATGAAGGCTTCACGAAAACGGGTCTGTCTGTGGCGATGTATCGCCGAATCCAGGTCGATGTATCCCGCCCTATGCCCCTCCCCC